TTTCACTTGGATACAGTTCATCAGATTCAAGGACACATCTGTAAGCTTTTCATAACCAAGAAGTAACGTTTCTACTATAGCTGCCAGATACAGGTTGACACGTGGATGGTCGACGCAACCATTATAACTCATTGCTTTATGACTGATGCAAATCAACGAAATACAAGCAATTGTTCCAAAAACTGTCAAACTGGAGAACAGTCGTTTGGTAACTGCCGTGAGCCCAGGAAAAGGACAACCAAAGTTTTCCTTCCATATCTCAAAATTAAACAGAGATATGAACGGGCGTACAAATGTTACTTTGTTCATCAGATCTTCTGGCGAGGTGGAAATTAGAAGTAATTCTACGGTTTGATAGAAATAAAATATCGTCTTCACAAGTGCATGATCGAAGTGCTTGCCGCTACAGTGCTGCTCATCTGATGAGTGCAAAGACTGTAAAGGTTGACGTCCGTGATTTTTGGGTCGAAACCACGCAGCATTTCGCCATAAAATTTGAAATATACAAGGTCGTGTGATGAGAAGGAATGACAAGCAAGTAATGTATACGAGACTAAAGAACCAAAACCAGTTGTTGTGACAGTTTTCCTCTTCATGACATTCAGAGGAAAACATGGCTTCCGTATAGCCTTCTCTGCACTGACCACAGAGGAAGCCAGTCCTGTAACCATGGCAACTATTAAAGCTTCTTGGGCTTGGTTCGCAATATCCCAGAGGACAAATCTCAAATTTCACGGTTGGTCGACGATCTTTTGGCTCAAGATATCCCCAGAAGTTTGGTTTTGCTTCGATCTCACGAGTGCAGTTGCCCCCGTAGGGACAGGGGATACATTGCTCGTCCACTGAAGTATCAGAAATATCAAGAATTGCGTACACTTGCTGAAGGTTATACAATCCGACGGAGCATCTCTTGCAAGTAGGTTTGTAGGTATCGTTTATGGTTGATCCTGAAAGGCTAACGTTAAACGCGTTTTCAAGGAAATAACCCAGTGGACACGTTATGTCGGATTTTTTATCAATGCGGAGATGTATCCCAGATCTCAGAAATAATATCACGCTTGCGTCAACCTCAAAGTGTGATTTGAAACGACAGTTGGTGATATTCACAAAAGAGTTTGAGTTCACATCAGAATGGACAAAAGCTGATTCAAAATAATGACTTGAATTACGCTCAAATCGACTGTTGTTAAGTGTTACTGAACTTCGGTCCTTGATGTGAATGTCCCCCAAAACAGTGTTATTACTGAAAGTAACATTTGACAACGCTGCTGACGTTTTTTCGAGTGTTATTATCGACTTTAGTACTTTGTTGCGAGAGAATTTTGTGCCTTGAAGATTAAAAAAGATGCTGCCAGCTACGCTATCTTGTTCCCCTTTCGTAGTTTTGGGTGGGTTGTTTCGCTCCTTGTAAGGTGAAATTGAAAGTAAATGAGAATCATCTTTCATGGAGTTATTTGCGAAGTATGAATTGTTGATGGTCAAACTTCCATTGTTCGCAGAAAAGGAGATCAAAGATCGTTTGTTTGAATGAAACTGCATGTAATTCATCGACATTTTCATCTCACGTGCTTCAATATCAATTACAGGAGACTTGGCCCACTGATTTACAATTGTGCCATGTACTGAACAGTTGTTCATTTGGACAGTGACTCTTCTGAGCCGACAAGTAGAACTCGTTTTATCACTGACTTTGAGTATGAATGACTTCACGTTAATTATTGACAGATTCTCTAGTGAAATCGACTTAAAACAGCCGCACAGGTTGATGCCATGTCCAAAGATGGTAGTAAAATTATTTCTGTGGAAAACCACTCTACCAACTGACAGCGAACTGGAATTGACGTCTATCAAATAATCGGGAAAAGGAAGCGAGTGATTATCTCGAAAAGTGCAGTTATCAATTTCTAACACGAAGTCAGCCCGAGAACGAAATTTGATAAATGGCTGTGATCTTTTCCGGATGAAATGCGAATGGGTGATTGATATCACCTTCGAATCTTGCCCGGTGTTGACATCTGTAATAACTGTTGAGTTGGTAAAGTTGCTATTTGATACGTTCATGGAGCATGCTCCGTTACAGATAAGACTGGCTTGCACGAATACAGTATCCACAACTTCCAAACGGCAACTGTCGTAACAGGCGACACCAGACTGAACGGGCACCATCGTAGGGTTTGCAAAGGTGCTGTTCAATACTTTCACAGAGCATGAGTAATTACAGGTAACGCCGCTTTGATCGAATGACGAGTTCTCAACTTCTAAGTTACACGTTCCATTACAGGTAACACCAGATTGAACAAATGATAGATTCTTCATGGTAATCGTGGGTACAGAGTCTGTCTTGAGTCCGTCACCAGTAGCAGGAAAGGAATAAGATCCTTTGGTGGGGGAAGTGTGCATGCCCGTTCGTTCAGGTTGAAACGATGTGAACCGAATCTCGCATGAGATATATGCAGGCGCAAACCAGCTGGAAATAGTTAAATTCTTTATAATCACAGCACTAGTGCTGTTTTCTGGACCACACTCGTAGCGATTTTCTCTGGAGTCTGTTCCATTCAGGATAAGAAATCCACTCTTTTTCAAAGAATAATCTAGTGTCTTACAAGGGTCGTACGGTGAGCCACAGCGAGGACTGTTTGCACCTGTAGTGTGAGAAACGTAGATAGGAGAACTCGAAGCACCTACAAAATAGAATAATTGATGTAGTTAGTTCTCTTAGATAACCGGCGCAAGTATGGATTTTTTTTGCATTGCACAACTAGATTAAGGATTAAATGAAGTGCCTAAACCGAAACACGCTGGGAAGCATTCCTAAAGCTTTGTGACAGCCTCAGTTGATGTCGAAAGCTATTGGCGGCTTTTTAGCCTTTCGTTTACAAAATCAAATATTAAAATAGGCTGATAGTATTTAGTTTTCATGCTATAATAAAAAACAGCTATGCGGTGTTCACATTCCGCTCGGCATTAATTTCAAGACCCGAACAATTACTTTTCGGTTTCAGCAATAAAAAAGAACTTCGTTTTACAAGAGTGATCCAATAAGGAATTCAGCCATTTCTCTATTCTGGATAAAATAATTTTTTTTGTCAGATAATACGATAAAGTTCATCGCTAGCATGAGTAAGTCGAGTGAGGGTTAATCGCGACACCGAATGAATCTACAAACAGCGGGACTTGATAAGAATACGAATTCTTGTTGACATATAACAACCACCACGATGACTTCTTGTTACAGAGAGATTTGGTACGTAATTGGAGAGAATGACTCTTAAACTTATAATCACACAGAGCCAAATAGAAGAGTAAAGAATGCAGCAAACTGGATCAGGAGATAAACAAATCATGCATGAATGCAAATAGTCCAAATAAAATCCAGTTTTGAGTTCTCAGAGGCTGAATTGGCGATAGCTTATAAAAATTGTGCTACCCTGAGTTACTTAGTTTAAACTCTTTGTCGCTAAAGAAAAGTAATGTACCTGATGAGATAATCAAGACACAAACCAGAAGGTAAATGAGACATCTAGGGAAAATGGCGGAGGCTTGTTTTTCCATCTTGTCACTGTCTCTGTACAGTATTCAGCTTGGTAGCTGAAAATTTCTCTCTTTAGCTTTCTCTCTTCACAATAAGCTGAACGATAGGTTAGAAATACTAGCCTTATATGGAAAAGATGACACAAAATTTATGAATTAATATCGATTTTAATTTCTTTCGCTTCAGGAAAAACTAACCATCAAATTTGAATTGAATTACAATTGAAATTAATTCCGTGCTTTCCGCGGTGTCCCTAAGAAATCTGTATTTCCGTCTCCTTTCCGCATATAAAGTGGAAAATACGCCTTTTTCCATCATCATATTGAAATAGCATAAAGCTGAAATAGCATAAAGCTGATTTTTGTTGTACATATGCTAACAAAAACCATTTTTTCCTATCGAAACTTCTACATGAAACTCTCATCAGTCGTATTGTAAATAAATGAAATACCTCAGGAATTGAAGAAAATTTGTGCAATAGGAAGAAGACTTTAGGAAAAAAAGTTCAGAAACATCCAGAGGGAGCTAATTTTCAAGCCATTTTTGAATGATTGTCTAGAAGGAAACAGACAAGATACGTTTCAGCTTTCTTTCTTTTTCATTTGGCAGCTTTAAGGAAAAGGATGATTCCGTCTCATAATCGGTTAACTTCAGTATTTGTTTATTTAATTTTATCATGTTTATGCGGAGGTCTACCAAGCGGATTCATTTAATCTTGTATTTGACTTTCAACAGTTCGCTTCTTAGTTATGGACTTTTGAGCTAAAAAATTCATTCCATCACCGCAAACTCGACTCTAGAGCTAAATTTCTTTCATCTAAAATGAATTCAATGTCGCCAGAAATCATTTTAAAAAAAAACCACATGTTCCCATAGACTGGTACAAGGTAAAAAGTGATAAGATCAACAAGTATGGGTTAGAGTTGAATGGTACCAGGAATGTTAATAGAAATTACGACAGCTTTTTCAGAAGCAAGTCTCTTCATCAAGCCACTCAATTTATTGAGGTATGGTGACTGAATCTCTTTTAATATTGACGGTTAAATCAACCAGCCTTCCCTAGGATTTACGAATAGTTATTTTTGTTGTTGTTTTTTTAATTTATTTGATAGATTATAAATATCTTTCCGTCAAAAGATTATTTTTACCGAAGAAAGCTCATCAAGAGTGGAATTTAGTTTCATTAGATTGTCCGTGATAGTCGATGTTACTCAGTTTTTTGAGTAAAAATCACATGGTTACAGAAACTTGGTTTCAAATACGTAAAAATTATGTAAATTTACAAATGCTGACAGAATAATAAAAGTTTTTACCGCACTCGAAATACTTGGGTGGTATTGGCCGCTCGGCTTGCTAAAAATGATTATGTTTACTGGAATTCAGTATCTCCCTATACTAACTACGGAAGATTCAGAGAAAATAGCCCCTTTTAACATTTTGTCGAACTTGATTTTATTTTCATTTTCAGATGGCGATGAAGAACGCGTTTTTAGTTGGTGTTTCACTTCTAGCGCTCATTGTTGAAGTTTACTGTCAGTCACAGGTAAAAATAAATTCGTGGATGGGAGAAAAGTGGGCGGCTCTTGGCTTCATTACAAAACTTAGGGCGTGGGTAACATTACTTTTCGTTACTACACGGAATAAAACTTTGGAAATAAAATAAATAGTCTGGGTAAAAGCAACGCTTTTCACCCTACCCTTGTAACTTTATGGTAAGCACCTCTTGAAGGACAAAAAGCTCTAATGTCCAGTTTTACTCTGTAAAATCGAAGTATTTCTCAGTCTTCTAAAGCCATCTTCTATTTCATTTTAGTTTCTTCGATGGTGCGTGGCAGAGAACGGTATCTGCCATCGCGACAGGGAATGCTGCGACAAAATGACCTGCAGCGACCATTTTGGGGTCGGTAAGTGTATACCGCTAACATCATCAGCCCCAGTTCCTTCGACATGGCCTCAGACAGGTTCTCAGACTTGGCCTCAGACATGGCCCTGCACGCAAACCTGGCCGCCCCTGTACCCTCCTTGGTGTGTACCTCTTCAGAAGAAGAAGAAAAAGAAGAAGAAGAAAACCAAGATTCTCATCAGAGTTTGTGGAGATCTAATGGGAATGAATGTTAAGGCCAAGAAAAAGGACAGCTTATTTAAACGATTAACGTGCAAACAGATGAGAGAATTGTATGGAAATAAGGAGAAAACGAAGCAAAAGTAATCTCCCATCAAATTCGATGAAAACCAAACACAGCCAATCGTGTCACCTTTTATAATAATGTCAGACTCTCATCCAGGCAGTGCAAACGCCATTGTTTGAATTTGCTCCCAAACAAAATGCAGACGAGGTGCGACAATAGTGCAGTGTTTCGTAGTTCCACAGGGACCGCTCAACAAAAATGCATCAGTTTGCAAAGGTTTTGCACCTTCTACCCTAAGTTAACCAGGTTACAGTTCATTGTCTAAATTGTAAATTACTCTTTTGTTTGATTAAAAGTAACCTAACGCAATAAAACTGTAACAATAAAAGAGGCTGCTTAAAGTCTACGCCAAAACCTTCTCGTTGTTAGGAACCCTGTTATCGCGTATTTCGAGTAATTCAAGAACTGAAACTAGAAAATTTAACGACATTTAAACATCTTCTTACTTAAATGATTTGAAACAAAATCTGTGAAAGCAATTTTAAATGACGTTTCGATGACTTTATGTCCACATCTTCAAATTCGCGTCGTTCAGCTTATGCGGGTTCGTTGTGTAATCAAAAGCCTCTGAACGTTTAGCTTTCCAGCTTTCCTCGGCATTTCTTAAGAATGAGGAATTCATTCGTGTTGATCCTTGATTGCAACATTGGTGGCACCAATCCATGCGAACAACTTACCATTCTAAAGATATGCCTCGGAAAGCTGGATTGTCTAATTAGAACAAAACGCTCTTCATCAGGGACAAGAAACTCAAACATATTTATCTGGTCGTTAAGACCGTCTGCACAGTACATTGTATCTTAACCACATGCACTTCGACTTCCGCCCGCTTTTCATCTTGAACAGCCCGCATAATTTGACTTACACGAGGTTGAAGTCATTGAGTCACCATAACGTCACTCAAAATTTTTATTTCTGATTTTTAGCATCAACTGATTTTTACTCGAATATCCCCTTTATTTGAAGTGTAAATATTTTTTACCTTGATTTTGTGGAGAATTTAAATATCTCATTCGAAAGGTAAGTGCATAGGAGCTTGCGAAATACTGTTGTTGGCTTTAGCACTTCTGTAGGAACTTAGTAACCTTCTGGATTGTGCCAGTTTTACTCCTCATATCTACTTCGACAGTGATAGGAGATATGGATATTAGTCCATAGAAACCTAGGTTAAACGACGTTTTGAAATATCAAAAGAAAATGTAAAGAAAGGAGGAAATGGCAGGTTCGACCATAGAAAAGTGATCCCACGAGATGTGTGCAAAGGGCAGTTATGAGCTGTGTATAACAATAATGACTTACAAGTTAAGTGCGTAATATCTTGTCTTAATTTCCCATCGAGACACTGCCGTCCCTTTGAAATGAAAGAAACGAGTGCATCTGTATCCGTGTTGTTTTGATACATTCATGTCTGAATTCGAAGATTAATTTCCCTGTGGCTTTAAGGTCTTTGCTTGACAAATGTGAGGTCAATATAAGTGACCGTCTAGGATAAGCTCCAAGCTCGAAGGAAAATTCACAAGCTTTCCTTTTCCATATAAAACTCTTCCCATTACCACTTCCTTGCCCTGTCATCGTTGCAAAGAGTCCTCCATTCAACCGTGCAACCAATGTGTCCGTATCTTTAATAATACAAAATGCGGAAGGTAATAACAAATCTTTTCGCAGCGCCAGTTCCTTTGCATTTTATAGAATAGACATGGATTTTATTTTTCACTCATTTATTTCTGGTTAGATTGATTGCTTTTTTTCTTTCTTATCTCTAAAGAAAGTATACAGAAATCACATGTTAAAACTAGAGGCAAAGCGGAAACTTCTGCAACAAGGCCGTTATTGAGACAACGGTAACTTTGAAAAAATTCACTAAAAATTTGAAACATCCAATTCACTTCTCGATTACTTTGTTACATAACCAAAACACGCCTAAAGCTTTACCCGAACTTGCAAGGATCCTGATCGGTTCAAAGTGGTTCAATCGCCTGTTCAAACTGGTGAGGCAAAGCACGGGCTTTTTCTGAATCGTGGACTCTTTCCAAGGACATGAAAAGTCAAACACATACACGGCAAAAGTCTTTAGGCCGCAATATCTACGATTTAAATTACTGTGGTAGGCAAGGGAATACTGGGGCGTATAAACGGTTAGGCAATAGCTACAATATGATGGGGAGATGCATCTAAAAGCTTTCAAAAGAGCGCATACCACGAGGTAGGGGCCTCGGAGACTATTGCGTGGCTTATAATCTCTAGGGTTTCAAAATCTCTCTTTCTCTATCATGATCTATCCCTGCATTTTTCCTATCAACGTCCAAACGATATGACAGGTGCTTTCCCCAAGAAACCTTTGGCAATACACAATTAAATCATCCTTTTATTGTACATTATTTACATTTTCATTGTAGAACATACCACTGTGGTACAATGCCATTACCTTCCTTGTAAGATAACCAATCACCGAGATCTTCTGTACATTGGCATTCATAGAATTGATGTCAACGAGCCACTAAATCATTCTTTAACTGCTTGATTTCCAAGCCCACTTTGTCCAAGATGCAGGCATTAACAGGCTCCATAGCTTCCGCAATACATTAGGAGTAAGCGATCAAAGCCAAAAATTACAGCAACTAGCTGAAGCCTTGTTACACATTTGGAACAAATATTGCCTTTTTTTTATTTTCCTCCACTCAGGAAGTTAAAGTGAAACTATGGAAGTCTCCTCCAAGGGTGTAAAATAACTGATAAATTGAATTGAATGTCGTCAGGGCGAAAATTTTTCCCAAGGTACGAAGCTCATGGAGGTCAAATCGCCATAACCTTTTGATGAAGGATAGCATGACACCAACCTATATGCGGGATTGGTTTTCCCCGTTGCTGGCTTCATTATCTCCTCGGTTTCATCAAGAGTACATAGGTTATGACAGGCACTCCTCAATGGTATGTCGCTTTTTTTTTTGGCTTTTTCAGGTCTTAGATATAGGGTGCAAAGCAAATTCATCAAAGTCTAAACCCCAAAAAGACTTTGTTTTTGAACCAATTTGGAAATAAGTCCTCTTCTACATAAAGCTCAAACAAAACGTAAGAGAATGTCAATAGACTCGTTAAAAACCAATAAAACCTCAACTATTGGTATGTATTAGAAAGTTATATTCATGTATAAAAGAAGGAAAAATGTCTGTTTGCTAGAAATCCTTTGACTTTGTTCATCCCAATGGCCAAATTTGTCTGCAAAATGACACCTCTACGTTTGACTTTCCCTTTTTAGATCTATAAGGGGATCTCAATGGGGTGATGGCTTTTACGGCCAATGGTTAAAATTTTGGCAAATTTTCGGCTAAAGATTAACATCTTTCCATTTTGTCACCAGAACTTTTTTTACGTTTAACTTTTTGTACGACTAACTGCTAAAATTTGCCAATTTTTACACCTAACGGCTAAATTGTTTGGCCGTTTTACGGCTAGCAGTTAACCCCAGTGAAACCATCCTATGATTACAAAGAAAAAGGTGTTGCTGATCCGATGTTATGTTGGTCCGAGAGATCGAATCGGGTTGGTATATTTTATACGTCTCCCCAGAGGTTAGGTCGTACAGGTAAATTTAATAGTTTAAATTGCGATAAAATATATATTTTTTAACAGGAACACTAAGAATAAAACAGTTCTAAGAAAGATCGAGGTACGATATTTCGAATAATGTGCCAATTACTTTGCCAAGCATGACTGAATCATATATGCACTGTTAAATGCCCAATCTCAATAGTTGAGGAGTGCCTGACATTTTCGTAAAGTCGTCAATCACAGAGACACGTGACTCTTCTCAAGTACAGTTCTGTCTGTCAGTAGTCAGTATCTTTGTCAGTTGCATCGTGTCACAGTACACCCATCTGCCAGTCAGTTCCATTCTGTCACAGTGCACCCATCTGTAAGTCAGTTATTATGATGTAACAGTGCACATTTTCCATCTGTGAGTCAAAATGAAACAAAGAATATTTAAGGAATGAAATGGGCCTGCATTGGACTGTCGTTCGTAGCTACGCTGTAAGTTAAGGAATGAATACAATTTGATTCTTTGTGCTTTTAAAATTTGTCGACTGTAACCACAAACACTGTTTATTACTCTTGACCCATTATAACACGAACTTTAAAGAGAAATCAAGATGGGTTCCCATTGCTCGAAGTTCGAACTTAAAATGACTCAAGCGGAAAAAAAACATACAGAATCAACTGTTTCGGTCTATCTAGAGTCAACTGAAATTACTCTAATTAAAGAAAACCAAACAACACAGGCTTTTTTCTATCGGCCTTGTTTACTTAGCACATAGGACTGTCAATTTTTATTACAAAAAATTCTTTAAAATCAACATCAAACTCGTGCGTCAACACGGGAACTGTGCTCTTTAAATACCAGTTATATGAGTTCGATAACTTTTATCTCAGCTAAAATCCTACTTCTCACGTTAGAAATTGTTTCGTATTCCATCCATTTTTTGTACAAAATTAGCTAAGTAATGAGGACATTTAGCTCAATCATCTTAAGTCTACCGAATAGTAATTTCATAAAGTCTAAAGGAGGAAAACAGTACAAGAATGAAAATTTTAATTCCAAAATGTTACATTAAGTAAAACTTGTCTAAGTATATCGAAATACCATCACGAATTTTCTTAGAAATTAAGGAGTGTCTTTGAAGTCTTGCAATAAATCAAAAGGGAGGGTCTGTGAAATGTGGCCAGACAAATAGTGGACCTTTTTTTATGTTTTTTAACCACTTGGCATTCGACTTTTTTTTACTAAAAAAGATAGTACATTTCAAACAAACAACAAACTTATTTAAATACAATTCAAGTTTCGAAAGAATTTTTTCGGAATTTTTCGTTTTCAAGGTTCCATTCTGTAATTTGGTTCGAGTTGTCAGTAAACTGGTCGTTTAACGGTCTTGAAAAAGTTGTCGAACATTTCATCGAAGTCCTGAAACGTTTAACTCGTAAAGTTACGTGTCATGGAATTCAGCGAAGTTATCCATACTGCAATTTACCTAACCTGTTATAACATAGGTAAGTTCCTCAAACTATTGAATTGCATAATTATGCAACGTCTTAGCACTAGTGAAGGTCACGTTGAAACACGTGACCTGTCGTTACCTTTGAAGCATGCGCAATAGGCACTATGAGTGCTGTAGTCTCAAAAGACGTTCTGTTTTGCCGCCTCCCTGTGTTTCACTCAGCCATTCCTTGCAAGGAAACTCGTATACACGACCGTTCTCGTCTTTGACTGTCACCTACGAAAACAGAAAAAAAAACTCAGGAGTTGAATAAACAACGAAAAGCAATTTTGAATTCTGGGTTAAAAGAGTAATGCATGGATTGCACTGATTTTGCTTCACTATTTTTTGTTACTGGTGTACTTAATTTGAGTCACTCTTTTGATAAAACAAATGCAAAACTTAAACCAATCTAGAATAAGTCACGCGTGTATTCTCTCACCTGAAGATATTTTTATGCAGTTACTTTACTTCTGATCGATCTATTTTGGGTTTTTTTATGCCCAAAACAATCGAAAAGCGCACCGAAGTAAATTTATAAACCTCGTTTTTTAAAATCCTTAGAGAGAAATGAAGCTAAATTCTATGGACCAATGATAATTGAACCTAATAAATAGTTATTGGGGAGAACTTCATCAAAACGAATATCTTTCGCGATTCACCTTGCACTTCTATAAATTCACGAGGCTACTCTTTTCAGGGTAGTATTGGCTACTTTGACATTGGATCACACTCTAGATGTTTGTCTTTGATAGCAGATTTCCAAACTTTTTTTGTTTTTACTATATGCTGAGTGGATCATTATGCCGTGGAACTGATGGGAAATTGTGATCCTTTCCTCGTCGTTACCTTAAACTAGTATAAATAACGTACGGCCGTGGTGATTAAAGGAGACTGGCGACTATTTCTTTCGATGATTGCCAATGTTAAGACCACACTTTTTCTCGCTGCTATTGCCATTGCATAGTTCGTTTTATTAGAATCAGCAATACTGAATTAAATTCAAGGATAACGCAATTAAATAGATGTTAAAACAACGTAATGGTTTTCGCACCTTCTGTAAAAACCAGCTGGGAGTTGATCCTGAGTTATCGTGAAGAATTCTAACTTGCCTCAGCTTACCAAGATCAGGTAAAACCAAAGTATTTGTATCATTCCTGAGAAAGAAGAAATTTAATCGTTATCGATTCAAATGAATTGTTTTTTTCACCCTATGTCATTAAGATTCTGACTCACTTTCCCCTTGAAAAATGTGTGGTGTCCAGTTTCCTGAATCCGGAGTCTCCTTTCTCTCCATATAAAGTGATGTACACCTTAGCGTCCGTGTCGGCGCCTTCGACATCTCCAGTTAACGTAGTTACAGTATAGTTGGTACCTGGGAAGAGTCAGATACGATCACCCGACCCAACGTCAGTAGAGTGAGGTTTCAAAATTTAAACATTAAAAAAAAACGTGAATAAGATATTGTGTAAAGAAATGTGGATTAGTAACGATTTCCTTCGATTGAATTTAAATCTAATCTGCAAAGTAAGTTACGAAAATTTGCAAAGTAGTTTTAACTGATCCACCTTATCTATATTTACTTAAAAGTCCATCTTATCATTACCTTCTAATTTTTCCTTTCAATTAAGTTGTGAAATTATTTCGAATATTATTCATTCATTCATTTCCTACCTAAACCAAAGAAGTAGACCATGTTTGTGGCATTGCCACCACAGTTCTCTTTGTCATTTCCTTTACACGGCATGTTACACTGAGCATCATCTGCTTTACCGTACTTTCCATAGCGGTGCCCGCAAAAACATTTGTCAGCGTCCTGAAGTCCAAAGTAAGAGTAACCCTTTTCTTCAAGAGCACATGCTCGTACACAGTCCTCCTGTGTAACAGATTTGACTGTAGCTTTGTCAGGTAGATCGTGCTTGACATTTTCATCTTTATAGCAGCCGACCTTTTGGAAGAGTAACAGCACGTCTTCCTTCTTTTCGTCTGGAAGATTTTCGACTGTTTTGGATTGAAACGATAAAACAGGTTAGCTTCTTCAAGGCTCTGTATTTCTTTTCGTCTATTTAACAAATTGACAATGGTTCAGCGTGGTCAATATTCCCTTCGACAACGATATTGGTCATTACAATAGTCAAAATGATGCGCCGTCGGGTTTTCCGTTTTTAGACTACGCAGATTCTGATGATTTCACGTTGCTGTTTTGCAGAGGACGGCTGAGAAATTTCCAAAGCCTTAATACACGCATGCTTAGCTCTTGTTCTGGCCATTAAATATTTTTTTCCAGCGTTCCTGTTGCCGTCACCATCGTGGTTTGCTCAAGGTTCCCATGGCTGTCTAGAAACACCACCCACCTCTCACCTTCCCGTAAAATTTGGGATATTGATCCACCCCTAATAACCTACATCCGCAAAGTTTTCTGTGTTCAAACAGTAATTAATCAAATTGCGGCGCCTTATATGTACTTGTTAAGAAAGATACCAAGTTTCAGTTAGCTTTACCAGTAAGAACTTCACTTACGAATGAGATTCAGAGAACTAGAATTCTTTTGATAATCCTCTGTGCCAGTCTTGAGTTCGGGTTTGGGAATCTTGGCTTTCTTCACGATGGGATTCTCAGCATCTGGTTTGGAAACTAGGGGCAAAATGGCGGATATAAAGATCATTAGTACTAATTGCAGACAGACTACTGAAGCAACAAATTCATTGTAGTCAAAACTCCTTCACGCTTTGTTTTAGAGAGCTTTGCTTTTTTATAACTGGTGTCGTGTACACGATGCATGGACTCCCAATTTGCGGTGGACGCTGCTTCTATTTGTAAAAGAAAGTGGTTGTTACTTCATTGGAGGTTTAAAATGTCTACGTAACAAAAGAAGTCAGTAAGTCAGCCGGTCAAAACATTTTGGTTACCCTGACAGTTTCTCCCAGTGAAATCAGATGTGCATTTGCATCGGTAACCATCCATTCTTTTATTATCCCGGATGCACTTGGCGCCATTTTCACATGGCTCTGGGTCACATTTGTTTCCTTAAAAATAAATTAAAAAAAAAAATCAAAGAAAATTGCATCCATGAGATGCTTGTAAAAAATCGATAGTCTAAAGCCCAGCAAATTCTATTATCTAGGTGATGTATTTCGCGCTGTTGATACGTCACAGATGACAGTCTTTCTCTATGCTGGTAACAGTTTTTTTCTAGGATTACAATTCTACCATTGTTTAACACTTCAACTTCTAGGAGTGATTTACGTCGTGATCTAATATATTATCCTGCTGACAGGTTGTGAGAGCAGAAAAGTTTATGCGCCACAGGATCCTAACTTGGTACGATACGGCGTTTCTTTTCCTCATTTATAGGAAAGTGCACGGCGGTCAGAAGAGAGAAATACCCCACGGAACTTGAGAGTTTCGGGGAACAAAGTTATCTGACCACTTCACCCCTAGAATCCCAAAAATCAGTTATCTTCACTATCTCTCCTGCATTTCTAGTAAATGTGACTCTAAATGTTTGATAACAAACCAAACGACTTCTTTCAGAATGTCAATATTTTGTAACTGTAAGAAAAACTTGGCAACTGGTCACCCTTGTGCGTAAGATAGCAAAGATAAGCACGGATTGTAAACAAAAGAAGTTGAAATATTACCTGACGTAGACTCAGATCCTACAAAAATTAAGGAAAAAAAAGAGTGTTCAGGCCCAAAGACTACATTCACTATTTTCTTTTCAATAAGGTATGACAAACGCTCTATTGTAATTGACGTTGTGGCCTCAATATACCAGTGATATCAATTTATGTTCCACAAGTAAATCCTCATTTTTATTCTATACTTAACAGCTATTACGTTTTACCTCTGCATCGTTATCACAACGTACATAATAAGTGCAAGTGGCACTAAAAGGCTGCTTAAAAAAGGCAAGATACCACTTCTTGTGTCATTTTCTAATAAACGTGTAATTACTCCTCCTCTACTAAAACAACTCTAAAGAAAATTGTAAGGAATTTAGGGATTCCAACCCTTGATCTCTGAGGTCTCAATAGCCCTAGTCTTTTTTTTTTTTTTATTTTTTTTACGTACCCTGAATCTCGTCGTCAGCCTCTTCGTCTTTGTCATATTTTCCAGCATTGTGTGAAATAGATACGGCGCTTGCTGAAATAAAGAAATTTCAGGATACTTACACGTTGGAATATGACCATGATTGATTCCGGTAGCAAATAAAGTAAAGAAAAGTATCTGAAGTGAACTAGTTTAACAGAACATTTTGACAAAAACACTTACCAATTAAATGTGCAATTAATTAATCAGTCAACTGATCTATTAATCTTAAAGGGAAGTAAAGTTTACGGGAGTTTTCTTACAAATAAAATACATCTGATCGTTTCGAGAAAACGTTACAATACACAAAATAAACTTTACAATCAAAGTCATGCTCGTCCCAGTCTCCTGAACCTGACCCGTCACCAGATTCCAACGCGTTATCTCCTAAAGGTTTTGCTGTGTGAAATAAATAAAAGTGGATAGTTAGTCACTCTGAGCTAATCAAAGAATAAGAAATCGACGGATGAGAGCATTTTTCAATTTGTTGTCAAAAGTAATCCAGAATTGCTTTGGTTTCAAGGACAAAACTCGTTCCACCTTAACACTGGCTAATCAGCTGCAAAACTTAGACCAATGGCGAAATTGGTGTCCGCGTTTTACTTTAAACGAGGCCGGCGTCAAGGATCTACGTTGTCTCCTCATTGGTTCTTTGTCTTGGTCATCTTTGCTCTCATTGGACGACCTGATACTTGTTGCTCCTCTCTCAGTTTTGGTTTTACGAAGCTTAAATAAGAAGCAATTTTTACAGTTCTTGAAAAACAACTCAACATCTTTAAAAAGATTCATTCCGTACCCTTAACAGGACAACTCTTGAGGTTTCCAATCTGTTGTTCGTCCAAAGCTTTGCCGTAAATCTGTAAACAGGAAATCTTTCCAGCGAACCTTCTTTCGTCGCCATCTCTGGCCCCAATCCTAATAGGATACTGTGTAGCCAGTTTAATCTGACCGATGTTCCGACTCTTTACCATCTTTCCATTATGCCAAAGTTGCGCTACACCTGTAGTGTTGTCGTATGTTGCACCGACCTGATTCCATTCGTTCAGCTAGAAAATTACGAAGATTTAGTGTTACTTTGCATCCCAAACATAAAGGAAAACGCACAAGTGATAAACGGATAAAGTCATTTCTTCACTGCGTTTGCGTGATTTTCCCTATATCCGAAAATTAAACGGCCCATCAAGTCAACATTAATGGTTCTTCTTAGTGGGGTGGGAAATTTAGGCTTCATTGCATAAAAAGCATACAGAATTATGTGTCTTTATTGATGACTCATGGTCGTTTATGTAAAAGGAAAGGAGTAAACTTTCGGCTTGTTGTTAACCCGGTCACTTATCGGGAACCCGATTAAGATGAAAATTTTGGATGTTTGGGTTTAAATCGAGATTTCAAAATGAGGTACAAGATGAGCAATGAAACACATACGAAATTAACGATAAAAAAAGAAATTACAAACCAGTAACACTCTTGAAGCAATTGGCTTGTGGAAAACTCCATTACGGTGTACAAATCTGACAAAAAGCTCGGTGGATTCAAACTGCCACAGATGGACTCCCCAGCCGTCCGTTTTGTAGTTCAAGATGGGTCCCCCACTCCCTGTGGGATAGATGTTTGCCAGGATTGTCATTGAGTCCTGTGTATCCATCTTGCCGTCATTAGGAATCTCCACAAAGGAATCCGCTGTGCCTTTGAACTCATAGGCTCCATCTTCAAGGCCTATTCAAAATAAGACAGGTTTTTTTTGTTTAAAAAGCTACTTATTCATATTCAACAATTTTAAACAGCTAAATATTTTGCGTGAAGAGCCAAACCAACTACCACGGGGGAGGGTACTATCGTAGGCAAGCCCGTCCCAAAGGGGTTAAGAAACGTTTAAACTCTTTATTACATCCATTTTTAAATCAACAGTTATCTTTTAAATCGGACTAGCTCTCTACAGTGTGATTTATTTATGATTCGCACTATTTTTTTTTCCAGACCGTTTCTTTTTCCCAGCCAATAAGAATGCATCACTAAAACAAACCAACCAATCAGATTTCAAGGCTTGTTTAAAGGAACCAGTCTAATTGCATGTAAAATAAAATACAAAGAACCATTGTGAGGTGGATTTTGCAATTTTTTACCCCACCTTTTTTTATTGTAAAATGGATGAAATAAAATGTTAATTAAACTACGTGTCGTGTCCGTTTGGCGTAAAATCATATTAGTGATTTGAAAGCGTGCTCGTTCGCTTTTAAGATCACTAGTATGATTTCCGACAAAATTACAATCTGTTGCGTTCAATTATCATTACTTATGCGTAACTGATTTCAGTTGGATGACATTCAGGTTGAAAAAAGAAAACATGAAATTTCCCAATGTAAGATGCCTTTGTTTAAGACCAGAGAGAATATAAGTTCGAAGCAAGGCCAGCAAAACATTTTTAAGATCAAGCTAAAGAACATCAAAGAAATTGTGAGACGATAAACATAGAATCCATACATCATTATCATAAACTGAGCAATCAGTGCACTCTCACCATCAGGTCCACTAGCGAGTTCTACATTACTAAGGACGCCATTTTCATGGTTAGGTCCCGCATCCTTTGAACCAAATGCTTTATTGAGTGGATACAAACCAACTGGCTTGGGGATAGCTGGAAATATATTAGTAAGAATATCGTGAGATCATCACTGTTCAGCATGAACGCGTGATAAACACGCGCGAAATGAAATGAAGACTCGAGAGGCATGTGTCTTCTCACTCGTGCGCGTTTAAGGTGCCCCGTTAGAGTGCTGACAAAGTACTGCATAAAATTGAAACGTTTGTATCGATTTTGGAACGCTTAATACTGAGCCCTCTGTTCTAGATTATTGACTTGAAAAGACAGCAAACGTTTGAGTCAGAAACTGCTTCAAAAAATAACTTAGCTTTTGAGTAAAATCACAGTATAATAACTCTATCCAATTAACAAGGGCTGGGGATATTCCTTGTTCATTCACTTATTCTTTTTTCGACAATAATCGTAATTAGTTCTACCTCGATCAGAATGCGCCCTTTCCCCCAAAACCACCCACAAATTATACTGGTAAACTCTGTCTAAAATTGATACCAGGCAATACCCAAATACTACGCCTGTATAGAGATATCTGTTCAAACTCATTTCCACAGCTACAAACCTTCCTCCTCCGATGATGGTCCCGGGCCAGTTCTTCCGTCTAAAAAAGAAAACATACCATTAAATTAGTTTATTACGGTGTTATTATGGTGATATTATACAAAATCTGTCACAGATAATTTACTTTAAAAAGGTAATCCACTTTCTCTTCCTAATGTTTAAAGCAACACTATCGCAATACAGCTTTGTTTCCTATCTATGTGTAATCTGAAGTTATTAACCACTTTTCACCATTAACACTTTATAACTTTTTATTGTCAAACGAGCACCTGCAAAGGTTTCATCTCAGCACCTACAAACTTGAGAAAAACCTTTCGTTTTTTAAATAATGAACAAATCCTTAAAATGGAACTTGAATTGAATTAAGGTTTTAAATTCAATCCTCCCAACGCAGTCAAACATCTGTTCCTTGATGTCATACGCCACCTACTTCAAAGTATCTTTTTCTGACTCGTCTTACATCTCCTGTCATCTCACTGTGTTGATGCTTGTTCTTAATTAGAATAATATTAATGAAAAATGATGTCCTTTACCGGGCAATCGCCAACTCAAATGTACTCTTTTGATTGGTCCCTCGAAGTGACCACTGGGAAGCTCCACAGCCACAGAAACACAGTCAGCCAGCTTATCAGACTTCTGATACGCCTCCAGGTAATAGTATTTACCTTTCTTGAGGTGAATACGTTCGGACTTTTGCTCTGGAAATCTAGAAAAAAAAAACAACAACAATTCGTGTTACTGTTGCTTTTTGACACCTTCACTCTGTAGGCTGCTGTAGACATCGTGATAATTGATACGCCATTAACGTCATAAAAGTGAATGTGAGGTCATATAGTAAAACGTCGTATCAATCATGCTCCTTTTACTTCTCATATTTGACAATTAAAGCCCAAGGTAAGAAACTGCATAAATCGAGAAAGTGTCATTTCTGGCCCAAACGATTGCTACAACCGACAAAAATGTCTAAATAGTAGCATTAAACTGTCCATTTTTTTTGTTTTCAATAGGTGTAAAATATTTGACAATTATTGCATGTACGACAAGGAGAAAATATATCAATTACTTAAACAAGCTTTTTAAAAAACCCATAAAGCTTTTAGATTGACAGGGCTATTTTTACCTTTAAAGAATTATTTTTAAAACATCGTGAGCCCTTTTAAATAGTAAATATTCCAAAAGGGCTCAAATTGTGTTGAAGTTTCTTTGACTACTCCTAAATTCGCCATTAGCTCTTGCCTTCTGTCCGTAAGAAACGAATTTCACCGATACATCTGAAGCTTCATTAGCTGGTGATAAGCGTCAGATTATCAACAGAAATGATTTTGTTGATTTACGCTTAACCAAAGCCTAAAAATGTCATGGATTGAGAAACTTTTTTAATTGAATAAATCTTTGCTTAAAGTTGATTCCGTCAAATTTTAAGATTACCTGTTAAAGCTTGTTCGTTTAAAATTTATGCTGACTTTGGGTTAAGGGTTTGGTGGTCGTATTGTAGTTTCTAAGTAACAAAAGATATCTGAAAAAAATTTTCAATGCGAAATAAATTCGCAAATCCACTTCCTAAACATAGTTAAGCATCTCATTAACCATTGTGGCTTTTATCATCGTTTTTCATCTTGTGAAGAGATAACGAATGGCGTTTCAGGTCTGTTAGCAGTATTTATCTTAGAGAACAAATAGAAAATGATAAAGTAAACAATACATGTCAACAAAATATGATCACAGCAGGCCTGACTCTGCACGAAAATTAACTCGCATTGAATTTGAAATTTCCAATGAAATGTTGTTGATTTATACCGGCTTCAGTAGTCGAGCTATCACAAATGGCTATGAATGTTAGAAAACTTAATTCGTCACTTTACGACAAAGAGAAGAAACTCTACGCACCAGAGATGGCCCAAAGAGAGGAGAAATGCTTTCCAATTATAACAAAAAGTTATTCGTATGGACAACAAAGGAAAACTATCACAAAATCCCTAAATCTACCGAGTCGACAAGAAAGCAAATGTACTTCGAATCTACAGAAGAAAGCATTTCGCCTGCCCCAGATCAATGTGAAACGCGAATCATTCAGTGTTTGCCAGAGATACCATTCCCGCGATAACCTTTGCAAAACCAACAAATTTGATAACAACTCGTCTTCATTTAACTCATTTGCGGCGAAAAAGGTCACCTTTCAAGACACGGCGAAGTTACCCGGAGATGGGCCTGACTTATATTCCTCTAAAAGGCTCTTACAGTCCCTACGAATTCTTGATCTTGACATATCGAGAAAGAAACCAAGGTTTCAGCGAGATAACAGTTTAAGGATTTGTCCCGTGGAGCTATCACCAAGACCCACAAGAAATATCATCAGAAAGGACACAATAACTTTGTCAAAGCCTAGGATCAAAGCGACATATCCCACACTACGACTGACAACTATCGATAAAAACGCAATTTTCACTTTTTCGCCGTCTCCAACGGTGAGCTTCGAGTCTTTAGATTCTATAATCGGAGGGCCGCCCACCCTGACACATCCACCACCAGACATTCTCTCCTCTCGTTCACCCTCAGAACTTGAGCTTACACCTCCACCAACGCCTTAGTGCTTCAACGATTGGAAAAAGAGGAATGTCTTAACTAGTGACGATACAGCGATATGGTACGGAAATTAAGTGCCACTTATTCTGGAATTGCAAGTTATACTAAAAAAAAAATTAATTTAAGAACTTAAGTATCCTTGTTCCTTTTTTTTTGTGTGGTAAATTAGAATCTTCCTCAAAGAGAGACGGTAAATACTAGCAAACCCTCAGATTTTGCGGTTGAATGCTGAACCAATTAAACAAGAAAGGACTCGCGTTTAGAATCTACCCTGTTCTGATGCTTTCATTAGTTTTAGTTTTATTTAGAAAATGAGTATGATTGCAGAAACTATCACTTATGGAAATTTGAAATGTGCAGTGCAGTGAAGTAAACGAAGATGCTAAAATTTGAGACTGTTATAAGGGAGTAATTCAACACGCATATCTTGTCGTTGAATCAAACTAGAGCTGTGCTTTTCATCTAAAACAAAAAGCTGTATAAACAAAGTCAAGTGAAAAACAGAAAGAGTCTGAAAAACAAAGAAAGATTTGCTTGCTATTTGTTATGCAAATTTTAAACCTGCCACTGCAGGTGACCGTCCTTCGTGATGGGGAAGACATACAAAATTGAAATTCAATATTATGCAAATGTAAGTTTAATGCAGCTTTCCTCTTTTACTCGAACTGATACTCGACCAATTAAATGCCTTGACGAGTAAGTGAAAAGATATAGGCATCGCGAGTTGGAAGAATCAGGTTAAAACCATACAAACGACTCCGTAAATTTTTCCATCTCGCCGCTGTAACATCGGAAATAATAATCTACATGTTGTTCTCTTTTTGGTGCCTTTCACTTAAAAATTTAAATTTTTCTATATCATTCTGCAGAAACGGAAAATTATATACTAGAAAAAAGAACAAAGCCCAACGGATTCCGCTAAAAGCCTTTGACCTCATTAAATTCATTTTCTTTATCATATGGGCTAAACAATATTACGATACCTAGACATTTTCCTATGAAAACAAAAGCAGAATTAACTAACATTTACAAGCTATTAAAGCCTTAGCTTGCAGTTTAAATAATGATTTTCAAAATGCAGAATATCTCTCATGTTGATCCACCTGTCAATATTTGCTGCATGTTTCTAAACTCATTTGATAAGATGTTTTTTTTTCCTTTAGCCCTGTTCAAATTGAATGCCTGTTATTTTGTTCGTGGGCGTTGAAAAGAAGGTTGCTCGAGTCTTGGTGCTTGACGTGATTTCCTAATGCTTGTGTTCTCGTCTTACTTGCAAGAAAACTGACTGTGCGACTGTAAAATGCATGAACAACAAACCTTTTGATAATTAATGTTTTGGTATTATGGCGTTTCTTTGACGATTGCCATATACAGTTCGTATGAAGTCTTATGATATGATGAATTTGAACATATGGTAGATGCCTTTCATGTCGGCCGACCTTCCTGTTTTTTCTTTTTCTAAGCGGCAAAACGCCTCATGAATAAGTAAATTTTTTGTGTCCGGATTTGAAATCTTTCCTGCGATCATTAGTTACTTTGTTGAGATAACTTTGGTAACAAATAATGTTAAGCCAAGTTGCATCAGTAGTTGTATGGTAATGTTGCGCTAAGTTAGAAATTCAGTTTGATCTTAATGATAACAATACAGTCGTTGCTTTGCCGGAAAGGTAATATATCTGGTAAAAGCTGCTTAATAAGGTAACAAAAGGCGTAAAATATAAAAGGAAAAAAACCCAATTTGGTCTTCAATGGAAAAAAAGCCTGACGCTAGATTTAAAAAGCTGAATGATACTTCCTGCATTTGTCGTGGAAGAATCAAAGGTTGGCCTTCTGTATTATGAAGATAATAGGCGTGTCTATTTCTATTTATAATCACCAAGTCTCTTGAGGATTCTGAAAAGTTAGCAGCGGAGAACGTGCGAACATGGCTACTTCTCGGGAACACAGGGAGGACTCAAAAGTTTTAAATTCAGCTTTAAGGCTAACCAAAGGATTTCCAACAAGCAATGTGACCATTTATTTGAATATAAAGGAAATATATGAAATGTGGCCAAGGCAAGCGACCGTTGCCGTACAAACTGATTTCAAATAATTGCAGGTACGAAATCGAGAAAATTCCTCGCAAATTCGCACGCTAACATGAGGCTTTTGACGTTTTCATACATGTTCTCGAGATTCAAACATAGAAACGGTCGCATCGTTTTTGTGGGCCCCTTGCGCTTCGAACATAACATATGACGCGTACAAGGCTCTTTCGCTATTGATTCCTTTCAGAAGAGATCATGCTAAGAGACGATGCTATGAAGCGGTCTCTCATAGGTTATTTTTAGACCTCTCTAGATCCAATGACCAATCTTGCGTGCCCTCATAGACATCTCATGTGGTATTGATTCGTTGTACTTCAGAATATTCAACCTATACCCAGAGGACGAGGTGTTCCAGTCCAAAAATATTTTTGGACGAATTTCCTCTGAAATGACACTTATGTCCAGGATTGAAAACGTATATTATTTGACGTGATACTCGTGTAACCTCATATCCGACTGAATTTATTACTTCATATTACACTTGATTATGAGTGTTTTGATAGAATTTGGCGATAAAAACACTTTGCGGCGTCTAGCCTATTCCCATAGCACTTACTTGAGCCACTCGTTGTGTGCTGTCCAACCATTTATAGCTACAATCTTTTTCAAGTTTTTCTCTGACTCGTCGAAACTCAGCCACAATTCTCCTGTAGTGTCCGCCGCCAAGAAGAACCTTAAAACAGTTCAAATGTCTCAAAAATAGCTTTCTCTTTGGAAATATTTTATGAATTACCTCTAAGTGAAAAGGCTAACACCGAGTCGTCTAACTTGAAACAAGATTTAAAAAAACGGTACACGTATGTAGTACAAGGAGTAACTGCACTAGTTTGGAAATTATCCCAGGTCCCGCTTAATTCTGTTACTTTTTCTGACTTTGAAAGTTATAGTGTTTGATCTGGTTAACACAGGCTTATATCTTTGAAGGGGCGAGAGGGGAGGGGGGAGGGAGTGAAGGACTCGCAAGTGAAATAAAGACTTTAAGAACTATCCAAGGTAGAACTTAACGATCGAAGAGGAAATTCATTTCTTCATAGAATGTGTGCACCCATTCAAATTAGTTATCTAAAGAAAACGTCAAGTATTGATATAACTCATATTTGACTACAAATGTCGAGAATGCTTAAAAAGGTTAACCTGCTTTAAGTCTGAAGCCTTAAAAAATTTCCTGAGCTAAACACCTAAGAATGGCAACCCAATTATTATTTACCGATACAAGCCGTTTTCTGGTGCTTTGAAGAAACCGCGTATCCTTGAACCGTAATTATCATCGACGTTGTGTGGTGCGTCAAACTTGTCCAGCACCTCAATACTAGAGGGATTGTTTGGAAAGTTCGGATTGGAAGTGAGGTCCATTATTCTATAGCCTGGGATATCTTGCCACACCTCACGAATAACACCGGCGAACGGATCACCTGAAAATAAAGTAAAGTAGCTAAACAGGTAGTTCACTTAACGCGCGCATGTTTGATGAAAATTAGGCATAAAAAATGGTTGCGTTAGACGCGATATCCACTACAGCCAATCAGAATATGCAATCTTTACCGAATTAGGGCACAGGTCGTTCTGTCCTTTTTGGGTTGAATTTGCAAAATAATCAGTGTTAATGTGTTTCTCCAAAGATTGCAAACTAATCTCAAATAATTTAAGAATATCATATACAGTTCTTTACGGTTTTCCTACTTTGCAACATTGTGATTCGAGCGTCTACAGCGGCAATAAAACCGGTAAAAACAAAAATTGTCATCTTGGCCAGAAAACTCATCATCGTAAAACCTCCACCTTTTGGTCTTTCCTGAGGTCTTCCTAAAATGAGTAGTTATAGTTTTTTTGTTAGTTGATATATTTTTTGTTTTGCTTACCAGGCATTCTCCATTGAAGTATTTCTTTGGTAATAGGTCTCATGAATCGACCACTGGGCAAACGTACTCCGGCGGAGAGTGAGTCAGTTGACTCTGTGCCTTTCTGTAGTCCAACAATGTAGTAATATTTTCCAGCCTCTAGAGTCACAGACTTCGAGCTTTGACCAGCATATCTAAAATAAAACAAGTGATTCCAGAAAAAGGGTGAATCGATGGAACAGGTTAATTAAGTTTACGTATTTTGTTTCAGTCTGTTGGAGACATCTCGGCAAGTAAGACAATCTATTGTATAGATATCGACGAAATACCAGTGTTTCTTCTGTTTCGAAAACATGACATCTTCACACGTGATAAAAATAAAACAATAATGTCATATTCCACTTTAAGTTGAGCGGAGGACATTTTCATAATAAAAAACTTGTAAGTTTAACGTGAAGATGATTTCTACATTCGGTGCTGCTAAAGTGAAGTTTACAATTGTCTTTGATTTAAATATGTTATAATATCTATGTTATTCAATTTTATAAACAGAACATTTCATTCCCTCCTGTGGATAACAGTTTATCATCACTTGAAGATAAAACTCGCTTATATTGATATGTTATCCGTCGTTAGATGACAAATTAGCGCAACTGCATTTTCGTTCTACCCTTGTATATCTAATAAGTGGAATATCAGATGATAGTCTTCTCTCCAGAGTCGCTTTCTCTACATTTCACTCATTCAAAACCGTAAGGTCAAAGTTGCTTCAGTGCGCTGATATTCCACATTTTTTCTCAATTAAGGCTAAAGTTCTTTTGATTGAGTATAAGGAAAACACGTACTTGTTCCACTGGTTGTGACCAGTTGCCTGATCCAGCGAAACCATTTTTGTCAAGTTTTGTTGACTTTCTGTGCTGCTCATCCACAGTTCGCCACTCTGTGACCCAGACATGTAGAAAGTGTAGTTCCCAGTCTCAGGTGCCACGAAGTATCCTTTCACCCTGCTACCATAGTCTTTGTCAATGTCAAATGGAGAGTCAAAGTTTTCGATGATCTCAATAAGTGAGGGGTCGTTAGGATAGTAGGGATCGTCTTTCAGCTTGCTGATGGATTTTCCAGGCAGTTCTTTCCACACCTCGCGGATAAGGCCAGGATATGGCATTTCTGTGTAAACAAATAAGAAATGATAATGGCGCGAACTTTCTCTCTCTCTTTTAATTACTGAAATCGGCGAAGAACCAAAGAAAAATTAAAAGATCTGCGGGAGATGAAAATAACATTGGATATTGTAAGGGCAGGAGAAGTAGAACTTATAACCATGGATATATGCGATCCCCGCCGGTCGAAGTAGGTGTGTACTGTAGTTTTTTTCTTGATATTTGAGCTAACTGTGCTATTAATGTAAACAGTATAACTAATGGCATATAATGGTGGGCCTAAGCGTTTTTCTAATGTATATATTTCATAGTAGATCATTTGAAGTCAACAGAAAGCTGAGTAACCTTTGAGCTCACAACAACTTAAACTGAAACCAAATATGCCTTATGTGCACCAAGAGTTTCGCATGTTTGCATTGAAAGTAGACCTTTTCACATGAGTCTTGCTTCAAACTGAACCAATAACTTGAAACTGAACTCATAACTTCAAACTGAACCAATTGACGGAAGGTATTCACTCTAAAAGGAACAGGGTTTAGAAGGAAAAACGGATAATTCCGGCTTAAAATCATGCGGTGTCACCTATTTCAGTGTCCAGGGAAAGACTCAACGATTGTTTGGGAAGTCATGATTCAAAATAAACTATTTTTAGGATTTTAGACAACGATACTCACTCTTTCCACCGTATATTTTTTCCACGTCTTTCTTCTCAAGAAATCTTGGGAAGATAGCAAGGGAGCCGATCGAAAATTCTGCAGGGGTATACTCGGGTCCGACATTTTTACGACCGACAATAAAGTCGGCACTCTCGGACACCACGTCACGGGGCACACTCTTAGGAGTCTTAGTCCAGCCTCGGAACTGACTGTCAGTGTAAAGCCACAAGCCGTCAGACAGACTCCAACTCAATACTACTCGCTGCCATCTGCAGACAAATGAAATGCATTATCTCAAGTTATACTTTAAATTCTAAGTTATGTTACTTATGGGTTAAGTTTCCAATTGCTTCTCAGGCGGATTTTCTCTGGTTTCTCCGCATCCCCCCCCCCTCCCCTCTTCAGAAAACCAATACTTAAGAAAAGAACACCATCACATTTGTGAGTTTTAATATATTTTTTTAACAAAAGAAAATAAACGTGTTATGGTCGAGTTGGAGGGCTCCTTCAAGTCTATAAGGTGATTTATAAACATCATGTAGATTGTACTAAAAATGATCATAACATCTGTACATTACAGTATGGATAGGTGTTACTGTGTGGTAGCTAATCTGTAAACCAGAAGATACACTAAAGGATTTTTAGTTCATATTAAATGTATGCGACCTAATCACGGTTCTCACAGAGATATATCTAGGTAAACCAACCTCACAGTGAAGATAGACGTTCTAACCGTCCAAGTCAGAGTGTCTTCGTCCGTGCTCATGGCAACACTAAAGTACAAGTTGTTGTTGAGGAGGTATGCAGACAGGCCTTTGGTACCTTTTTGGTGACCGCCAGAATCCAGAATGTAATGAGGTTCTTTGTACGTGCGAACGATCTGCAAGGAATTAAGTGAAGCCAGTTTAAAGAAATATAAATAAGGGATAGAAAAATATTAATTGTAAAAGCCAAATCTTAAGCGGAGAAAGATTACACTTGCCCTGCCATAGGTAATGAATTTCGAATGTCAATATCGATTTGTTTTACCGCATTAATTCTTACCCGGTTAAATTTAAGCTTGCAGCTCAAGCTGAGTCCATTGGGACACTTGGAAGGATCATGGAGACATTTTCCATCGAAGGTTCCAACTTTAAGGAAAGATTCCTTCCCATCAAGATGCACTCCTCCATCCACGGCTCTGACTGGTCCATGCACCTCGATGTCTGGGCTGCCGGTTATCTTTTTGTCTTGAAGCTTTGGCAGCAGCCACATGTACCGTGGAACAACTGTAGAAAGGACAATAAAGAAGTAAGTTACACAAAACTGGCCAGTTGTTCTCATTCGTTACCAGACTGGTACAAACTTTGTACGACTATCATCAAGATAATATCAACAGTTGATATTCTCTCGCTGGCATATACAGACACTTAGCCGCATTAGATTAATGAACATGACCAATTCCTAAGAAAACTGATTTTTTTGTAACTTATTTTTCCGCTCGATGTTTAAAAAAATTGGTGAGTGCCGATATGTAGGTAGCATCGTTTAACAACATTGTCGTAAACTACTTAATGGCAATTTTTAAATTGCAGCACTTACCTGTATTATCAAATGTAAATACATAAGGAACATCCTCAGGAGCAAGGAAACGCGTAAAGGCGTACAGTGAGCTTATGTACATCCTAATGAAGAAACAAAGTCATTCTAAGCAACTGCGGTTATGTGCGATAAAGATTTTTGTCTGAGTATAAAGCTGAAATGATAAAGAGCGGAGAGTTAACTAACAGCAAGAGAACAAGTGGCATAGCGTCTCAAGCGCCTTATCTCACACACCCTTAGTTTTCAATTCTGGCGAGCTTATCAGAGCGATTGGTTATTTTATTAATGGCTATAGTTGATATGTTTTTTCCCTTTTGATTGATAATATTATCAAATTTTGTGCAGCTTGCACCAAAGAATCCCTTGTTTGGCTCCTGCTCAGATGTCTCATTGCTAGGGATTCCTCGTTGATGCCATAAGTTACATTATTCGTATGATAGGAGCAACGGCTCGTTATCGGTGGACCATGCAGCCATCTTTGGTCATTTCATCAAACAAATTGAATTACCTGGTGTACTTGAAGGGTGGGTTTCCACTCTTTCTACCAATAGTAAGTCGAGCCTGTTTATTTGGTATTAGGCTGGTTTCTGTTCCGTCCTTCAGCGAGTCTCTGAACGCTCCGTTAACATAAAGCATCAGCCCTTCTTCTTTCTTCCAAGTCAACACTATATCCTGCCACTCATTGGTCACAAGCTCCATTGACAGCTGCCATTCTTTGGTTGACGTCACAACCTGCAAAAAAGATCAGTTTGTTTTTAAGAGGACAAATCATCCAAAAGAAGTAAGGAAAGTAGCCTTGTAAATCGCACAAAAGATACCAGAGGTGAACATAGATATAATCACTTCAATGATGTGTTGTGATAGTCTCGGTTAGGGTAGTTATGGGAAAAACTTTTGACAGAGCTAATTACCGACTTTTCGACATCCTGAGCGATCGAAATACATGATACGATCGTTTCCTCATATGGAGCCCAAACGACTTACTGCAGTATCTGCAACCGTCTCGCTTGAAATCTCATAATATCTCTGGGTTAATTTTGATAACTTAATACGAAGATGATAAATGCATCGAATTTGCTGTTGGCATTGTTTTTTGGCTGAGTGAAAAATTAACTGAGTTCGTATGTAATAAAACCTGGCCCTGGCCCTGGCCCTGGCCTTTGTTCCCTACCAGGAACAAAGGCCAGGGTTTAATTTTAACCCTTTAACCCCTTAAAGTGACCAGCATCTAATTTCTCCATACACTCTCATCCCTGAATCAAACATTTAGTTCATTAGAATAAAAGAAATGACCACCAAATAAAGAAGCTTTTGATTGTTAAACAAATTTTCCTCCTCAACAACTTAAGAAATGTATAAAGAACAGTAGGGAGAATATGCCTACTGATGTTAGGGTGTTAAGGGCTAATTGAAGTAATCTCACCTTATAGTATAAAGAGCCATTATGAATGTAGATTGAAACGCCGCGCGAGTTGCCGCTGGAGTCTAGAACATATCGTTTGTCGTTGTAAGACAAAGCGTCGTCGTCGAAATTGAGCTGTGAAAAATGAATCCATGGAAATCAATCATCACGTCAGAAATTAAAAGGGAGGTGATCGAGGACTTCATTTTAGCAGACAAACAAGAACTATAACAATAACGAATAGGCAAAGGGTCTTTTAAAAACTTTAAATTTACTTTGTAAGTTTTTTCGAGTCATTAAATTCTTTATCCTTCATCGTAACTTATGAGCGATCAGCGAACTCCTCCCTCTCGATGATATGCTTTGAAAAGAAGTTTGGGCTTTCTTGAAATATAGTCTAAAAGTACATATATGATTCTGAGAGAATTATCGCACAGTTCCAGTACAAGAATAGCAAGGAAAAGTCCTTAGGATTTAAGCCCTCTTCGTCCTTGATGTAGAAAGACCTGAACAATATTTCGTTATCTCATATTCTAGTCCTCATTAGAGTTTATACCTGTAACGCATAGGAGAAGCCCTTGATACAGAGATCAGGATCACCCAAGCACTGTCCATAAAAATCCCCTGCGTCTAGCCATGAATCCACTCCGTTGAGCTGAAGACCACCGTCCACTGATTTAACATTACCATGGGAGGCAATGCGGTTGGATCCGTGAATACGGCTGTTGGATATTTTTTGTACAGTCCACAAATACTGAGGAGTTACTGCAAGAATAGAAGGAGTGCAATTTGCGACATCAGTTAGCTTCAAGGCTGCCTCTATCAATTCAAATTGGCTGGTTGAACCGTTCTATCGACAAATAGAGCGAGTTAGCTATAAAAACTGACATAGCTGGTTCTGTCGGCACTCCCCTTGTCTCTTGACTTGGCCAGCCGCTATTCACGCTTTTGCTAGGACCTCACGCGAATTGCATCGCATTCCCTCTAAGGTCCACCAATACAGACAATGACACAGAATAATTCGAACTTAAGCATGAAAAACACGTGGAGGTGAAGATCTCGACCTTCACCTTTCATTTTGTACTAAACAAACCCAGTTCTTTCCGCTCGAACAGATCCATTGAATGGAAAAGAGTCTTAGGACTAATACTTGTCACTTCCTTGAGCCACTCTTATTCTCGGCTTGACGATTCGGGCATACTATGTCAAGTAAGGTTCTTTTAACCGTTATTTTCATTAAGAGAGGCCTATATGTAGATGTTGATGTTATAGTTATCAAAACTGGCGTCAGAAATGACAAAAGAAATAGCTTCTCTCACCGGAATGGCTTCCAAATATCGTAACGCTTGTGTCAATGTCAGGATTCAATAATGACTTGTTGGAGACAAATTTCTCAACCTCTTGAGTTAAAGTTGCGTCTGTTTGGAAATAAAAAACATCAGAAAAAGAGATCGTGAGAAAAAGAATAACGTGTCTCAAGGGTGTTCACAGGAAACAGCCTCTTGGAAAAGAGAATGGTTTGAATCGAGTGAATATATGATCTATCTTTTAAACTCATGGAAATTGGAAATGTTCAAGAGCCAGCATCACTTACCATTAAGTGGATGATGTGGGCCCTTAGGACCTTTAAGAGAAAGCAAAGCCAACGTATAAGCCAAAGACAATCTAGTAAGTTATGTTTCTATAAAAGTTGTCTAAACCCTTTAGTTTTCTGCAACTGTCTTACACTTTGACTGTATATGCCTACTTTCGCTTGGAAAATGCGGGCAATGTTCATCTTACAGTTGAAATTTCCAAGTATCGACCCTTTGTACTCGAACATTAACATTCATATTCTCCGCATGTTTCTTTTTACAATTCCTATTTTACTTACATGGAGAATTTGTTTGATAATCAGGAGCTTCTTAAATTAGCGATCATTTCCTTTACTCTAATGACCTTACATTTGATTCAAGGGTGATATTGTAAGGAGAAATTAGAATCAGTCACTCTCAGGGGATGATAGATCTCTGGTTAAAATAAACTATAACTGAAAATACTTACCTTAAACAGCAGCTGAGACAATTGTGTCCCAACAGGTTATCAAGAAATTAAAAATTGTTTAAATTAGAATAAGAATGTTTAAAGACTCGTTTTATCATTAAAGCCAGTTTACTTACTTGGCTTCTTACAAATAAAACTAAACTGGCTCTGACATGGTTCGTCGTGCCATTTTCCAGTGCTCGTCACTATTGCACATGACACCCCTCCATTATTGGGTGACTTATCGTCCCAGTTGGTGTACGAGGACGTCATTCGGTCAGACCACACCCAGTCTCCCTCATTATCAATGTCGTTGTAACCAATCCAGAAGTCCGATTTCGAATACACCTGAAAGTGTTTATTTCCCGTTAGTTTACCTTTCAAAATGCATATTTTGAGATCTTAAGGGCCCGCGCAGTTTGGCTATAGCTGATAAACCGAAGTTACCTCATTTGGTTTTAAAGGTGGCAAGTCAAAGTTTTGGGGTCATTAATAAAAGGCGTATTTATTCCTGAGACTTGATAAGTGGCCATGAACCAGCAAACACTCTTAATCTCCTTCTATATTCAAAAACATATATATCCTAGATATTTTTACGCATTGCAAGCACAGGAAAATTCAAGTTTTACTTATGGAATAAATCATTTAGAAACTGAAAAGATAAAATATTTCCTTAATAAATAGACACCTTTTGTATAAGTGACAAACCTGCGATATCATAGTCTCCTCATCATCACTAAGTATACTTGCTAACGACGCCTGTTCGTCCATACATGATACCAGCGAATTTTCCCACGTTTTAGGTTCTTCGAATAGTTTATAGCATCCACGAACTGAGTTTAAGGTTAGCTTCTTCCAGCCCTTGCCACAATCTTAAATCACAAAAAATCCGTAGATATAGTTGGTTTGATTACTTTTTCATCCCAAGCATGCAAGACAATTTTCACAATAAATTTCATTGACCAAATGTGACTTGAAAAGGTTTCCTCTCGCCAAAGTGAACCTTAAAAAACAGCTGTACCGTGGGGCACTTTAAAATACAAACAATCTTTGAATACCCTCGAAATTCACGAACATTGCGCTATAATTTTAAACTGATAACCAACCAAAGCAGTCCAGGCTATGTGTGCAGGAAGATAAACTGATAGCCAACCAAAGCAGTCCAGACTACGCGTGCTGGACGAAGATCTAATTAGAGTTTCCTTACCCTCTGGTTTCTTCTTGCAGAGGTACTCATGAGTCTGTGAGCACGATGCATCTTTCCATTTCCCTTCTTTAGAACTTAACAGAACACAGTCTCTCCCTTTGCCGTGGTCGTCCTTAGCGCTGCTATCCCAGTTCGTAAAAACAGACAAACTTGAATCACTCCAAGTCCATGTGCCGTCTCTGGATTTGTCCCGGTATCCTAACCAAGATTCAATGTTTGTAAAGTTTTCAATGAAACGTTGTTCATAGGCGTTGGTCACGCTGAAAAGCTCGCCGCCAAGGCCCTTGCACGTTTGATGTGCGTTGTCCCATGATTTACGTTCGAAGATCTCTTTGTAACAAAATGAACCAAAATCACCGAGAGCTCCGGTCCAACCAGCGCCGCATTGAAGATCTGAAAGTTAATTTGTAAAGTGCGTCACGACAGCTCCTGACCTTTTTCCTGAGATTTAAATTCTGAAGAATGCATCGTTCGCGTGCCCGAAGGCATTGCGCTGAATTAAAGACCGCTAATTAGTTAGGAGAGACCGAAAAAACAGAGTTTTTCTGTGGTCCTTTTTTATTCAAGCTTTTAGCTTGGAGAAATAACTGTTAACTAAAGATTCAATTTAATGAATGTAGTTAGCAGGTTAATTTGCGTTTTTGAAGGCATTTTTCATTTTCATAAAACAATTTGGGGTAAATCATGTGAGGTTGTTGTATTGGGGCTCACTGTAGTTTCACGGACACCTCTTGTCAAACAGATTTTTAATCAGTAAGTAGGCGTTTTGTTCATCATCAGCAACAAAGGTGATCTTCTTACCTGGCTTTGGTCGAATCAAATTCTTTTTTCCGATATTACCATTTGAATTTGGGTTTGCGTTTGAGTTTGTGTTTGGTTGGTGTGTTTGATCACTCTGCTGTCCTTCTGGTGGCAAAGGAACTGGGTAGAATGGATAAGGACAAAACTCGTCACCTTCACACGGTTTGCGCTGTGATAGAAATCAATGGAAAGAAAGACAATGAATCAGTAATCAGTTAAATCATGACTTGTATAGTAACGGAAAACAGCGAAAACCGTTTATTAATTTTGCGCACTTAAGTAACGTTGGATAAAAGTCGAAAAACATTTTTGTTCTAGAAATTTTCCCAGCCTAATTCGTGTTTTGTATGGCAATGGTAAACAGGAAAAATCGTTTATTCATTTTGCGCACTTAAGTAACGTTTAATAGAAATCGAAAAACGTTTTTGTTCAAGGCAGTTTTCCTAGCCGAAAGCGAACGGTAGAAAATGCAATTTTAATTGTCTTCCATTTTCCAGAAGCGTTTTTCTCACACTCTCTGTTCAGACGATGGAATGGCAATGAAGACGTTGTAGGTTCTAACATGATTGGATATCAGATTGTAAGGAAATTCAAATATTAGCTCAGAAAAATAAGACTGCTAACTTAAGGGAACGACCTTCCCCAGAACAAGTGCTGTTCGAGAATAACGTGAGAAATGAAACAGTAGATGAACTGAGCGCACTTGTCACCATTACTTGTAGTGGTAGCAGTAGTAGTATAATAAACAGGAAAGTCAAATACTTTCGCGGCATACCTGAGTTCAAAATGAATAATCTGAGCAGATTTGTTTAGTTACTCTTCAATAATGAACAAAAAGTTATAGTAAAAAATTTGAACTATGCAAAAAGTAATAATTTTCCTCTTCATCTTACGGGTTTATTGGCTTTCCCATCATTGTCTTTTTTCCATCCTGCTGACAGCTGAGGAGACACAAACTGACTTGGTTCACTGAACAACTGACTGTCAAACATTCCTTGCTGCAATAAAATGAAACAAGACGACAGATGAGCCAAAGCAAACGTAAAGTTCTGCGGACGAATGATGGTTTGATTATTAAAGAAAATCAGCCTGGCTACACAACTCTGGTAAAAAAGCTATTGCCTTCATGAACCCCAAATTTTCGTTAATATTTAACTGTTGTAAGATATGGTGAGCAATCAATGTAAATTTATTGAACAGAAGTATTCTTCTGATTTAGCAGCCACAAAAAAGAAAAAACCATCACTGTTCTCTATTGAGTAGCAGAGAAGAATTGTGGCAGGCAGATCCCAAGTTATAAGGGATTTATGTTCGCAGGACATCCGTGACATTTTAGTTTCAATCGCGACTCAAAATTTAAACCTTTGTCAAACTTAATTTTTATCAATAAAATTATTTTAATAACGATTACGGCAATTCTGAATATGATGCCATACGTTGACAATTTTAATTTTCAAGTCTATTTTTCCAGTTAATTCAGTCTCCTTTATTAATGTTATCGAAGGCCTAAAAACTTATTACGTGCGAGCTTGGAAATAATTTAAAAATAATACAGAAGGTTTAAGAAAAGAGAGAAGAAATTTGAAAAATCTCTTCGCCGCCAATAGATATTTGATTCTCTCCGAACTGAGTTCAAACTAGTCTGTAAGTTTAGAGATTTTAAACGTGCATACTTTAAGTGAGTTTTGATTTATGCGAAACTGACTGATTCGTTCATCATGTCACAATCGTAACATCTTTGAATAGCAAAATATGTTCATAATATTATTGTCAGTCTAAATAACATGTTATGTCTACTGTATGTTTTAGTCACTCACAACCAATAACTTTGGTTTTCAATTACATTTAGTCTAATGAGAAATGGACCACAGTAAAATTTTTCAGTGTAACCCTCTATCTAGTTCAGGGAGAAAATAATTTTTGTGATGCCTGGCAAATGGATGCCAACGGTCTTGGATTTATGAATTATGAAACTGGAGGTGAATTTCATGTGGAAGACTGGGCCAATAATTCGTTTTATTTAAACGCAGAGCGTTTATTAAGAATACGTTTATTTCCGCCTGATTAGCTCATGTTGTAGAGCGCCGGACTATAGTGCCGAAAGTTAGAGTTGAAGCCCCAGATCGGACCAACACTCAGGGTCTTAAAATAAATAAGGAGATTGTGCTGCTGTTGCTATGACACCTGCGTTAGACATTTTAGTCTTCTCGGATAAGGTCGAAAAACAGTAAGGCCCCGTCTCCTGCATCTTCTCTGTACTGGTTAGTTGAGGACGTTAAAGAACCCACACACTAGGGTGGAATGTAGCTTCCAATGTTGTGATTCTAAAATTGAGGATATCTGAAAAAATTTCCTTCAAAAATTGTAAACTGCTCGATGCAGTCTGGTCAAAGTCCCCTGCAAAGTGTTATAAAGCACCATGAGCTAATGGATATGGCGCTAAACAAATCCTTCATCATTATTATTGTCATTAATATCATTGCTGTTATACGAGAATTAGGACTTATGTGTCAAAACAATAGAATGACCAAAACTCAACAGCTATTCAGCGCTTTCATTCAAGGAACCTCCTAGTAATGCATATATTTGATCTTAACTTTAACATATCTGTCTATCAAAGTTTCTTACAGTGTTCCCTGTGTTTAATTGATCATTTTGACTTCCTTCAGGTGGTAATGGTATTGGATAAGGATTTCCGCCTTCTGGAAACCATTGACGACCGACCACTGGCTGTTGACATCGCAGTCATTTGATAACAATCAAAAGATGGTTCAGAACATTCAAATTGTATAAGTATCCACGATCATGTTTGTTACTCACGAGTAAATAACGAGTGCTTACACTCTTCCCGATGTTAGTCAACGCCTGTCTAGTAAATTTTAGCTCAATATCAGCTAAAGCGGTCTCCTTGATCAAGAAGCATATTACTTATAGCGATTTGAGGAAAACAACGAATGTTAGCACGCCAAATTGTCTCTTGACGTTATCTGGTGTTAGTCTGTTAGTACATGTTAGTTGGATAACTGCTGAAGTGTTCCTATTAATCACGAAGCCAATTGCTCAGGAAGATATGGCGTTTATCTCTAAGCACGAAAAGTTAAACATGAGTTTGATACATTATTCCGTGTTAAGCGACGTGTCTACGTTGGTGAAATAATCCTCAGATACAAGACTAAGCTCGTTTGAATCTTACAGTTAAAAATTACAGCAAACATAGGCTAGACTACCTAGCACATAGAAAATTTACTCCAGTTAAGTACTGTCAATTTTGTTTGTATTAGACCATTACAGCAAGTCAACTTGTACCATAAACAACCGATGTTAATGTTATGCTATGATGTAATAGTAAATTTAATTACCATTGCAGTAGTAGTATTGATAGGGGATAAGATTTGCTTCAAAATTAGATGATTATTTTAATGCGCTATGTTAAAGTTAGAGGCGTTGCAGTCTCACTAAATCATTTCAACAGAGTTAAAAATGTCACATAAAACCCAAAAAAATGTTATGACATTTAGGAGTAACCTGAAACATGTATATACATATATAATTTGTCTTCTCGTTACTTTTAGGGAAAAAAAGTATCATCCCTTCGTAGGAAAACAAACAAACTAACAAAAGAGTGATTACTCTAGAACCCCCGATGTAATAAGCTGCGTTAGTGTAAGAGGTATTTTGGACCCGTGAATGTGAAGAGTGCGCTTTAAAATTCTGTCTTAGGGAACGTTAGGATAAACACCTAACGTGACGACCATAGGGAATCGTTCGTTATATTTGGCTCCACTGTCTATTGAATGAAAAACAATAAAAGCTCAAGCGGCAACAAGAAAAGTTAAGCTCAAGAAGGAATACAACGTCCATCGGTCAGTACAAGGCAGCCATTTAACCAAATATGATAACCTTTTCTTTTCTCCCATTTTTCGTAATTTAATCCTTATTACTTCCCTACTCTTTTTACATACCTCTGGGTTGGTGTTTGCTTGACTGAATGGATAGTAAGGAGACTGGGACGGCAGTGACCCACGAGCAGAAGCCTGGGAAGAAGTCTTGATAAAAATACAAGAAGTTTCAAGTTAAAGTTCTTAAAAACAAAGGGGCAATATAGCTACTTATTTATGTATATCTCCCTAAGAAAACCCGCCTGTAATAAAATGCCCTAGAAAAGATCCGCGTTCCAAATTTGCGATACAAAGGTAACAAAGACGGCAATTTCATCTGGAATATCACATTTGAGAGTAGTTTTAAGAGCCATCATACAAAAAATTGTGCAAGAAAGATAATGTATCTTTGAATTAAACGTAAATATCCTTGTCATTCCAGTTTTCACCCTAGACAGAGCAGTCTGGATCTTTTCCAAACTTTAAATAGCGACACCATTAAGAATAGCTGAAATTGGACGCAAAACGCGCAGAAGTATAAAGTAGTACAAGCTACCTTAGCCCTTTACTGTCTGCCTTACAGTTCTTATGATTTTACTTTGGGGAATTTGGTATTGGATCAACTAATAATCCTCCAATTTATTTTTTTCTTGATTCTTTTCTTTTGTCTAGTTGATATTGTAAGGAGAAATTCCCTCTGGGTCACTTCTGGGAGTTAAAAGGCTAAAAGGTAACTCCGCATTTCAAAATGGCGCTATACCTTTAATGCATCTTGGTTATTTTCGGTTTCTTGGTAGCCATGGTAACCATGATTTCCTTGTCCTCCTTCGGGGGGTATGGTAAAGGGATATATGGGTGGTGCCGGGCTGGACCTTCCTTGACCTGTTGTACATAGGTTTTTAAAGTTAATAAACGGCCTATTAAGATTACATTCGTATGTCTGTGAACACGTTAGTTGGTGGTAATTCTGGTGTCATGTCATGCCAGGTGCTTGTTAATAGGTTTGGTTCTTTAATGATTTGCTGAACATAGGTTTTGATACTTAATTAGATTAGTTTTAATACTAAATTTACAACATATTAAGGTTATCGTTCGTACGTATGTGAACATGTTGGTCGTAGGGTACTCTGTGTTACGTTTCCAGGAGCTTGTTAAGGATTTGTAAGATTTTGTCTTTCTTAATTTAATATTAGCTTTGTCTTAGTGTTAAATGATCAGACCATCGGAGGCAGCAAAATGCAGCTTCATTGAATTAATTTTCGAGTTAAGTTTTACTTGAACCCAAGTTCTCCTTTCGATTATGTTCACTCGATGTGTCAAAACACTAAGCATTAGAACATAATGAATCAGTTCATCTGTTACGTCAACATTATCTCTGCAGTATCACTAAGGCTAGCCGATTTCTTCTAAGTTCTTTGTTAAGAAAATAATATTTTCCTTACCTGGGCTTGAAAATGAATTAACATCACTTCCGGTATAACTGGAGGTCTCCGTTGATACCAGGTCGTTGTGGTTGAGAGGCGGAAGTTGTTGATGATTCAATGGCGGGAGAAGAGCCTCATTGTCATGACTCAAAGGGTATGCATGCTCTAGAGGGGGAGACTGGGGAGGTTTACCAACGTAGCTCTGTATCATTTCACCTGAGTTAAGATATGGGTTAACATATTGTTGGTTAGGTAAGTTAAAGTCATTGTTGTAGGGAGGTTGGCTAGTTGAAGGGTAACCGTCATCAAATTCGGTACTGTTTCTTTGTTGATTATTAAAAGGCACACTCTGATGCTTGGAAAGCTCATTATTAATCGGTTTACTTACTACTTGATTAAACCTTAGGCTCTGAGTTTGCAGATTTATATTTGATTTCAACTCGTTAGCTATTTGATTAGGCAACAGGCGCTGTCTCTGGAACTCGTCATTAGCTTTACGCTGAATTACATTTGGTACAAAGGGCTTGAACAGTCTCTGAGGTGTGACCGAACCTGCGTTATTACTATTAATCAATTGATTACTTCCCATAGTAGGAGTCTGGGTAATGTCGGCTTTTTTAAGTGTATCCTTATGGGAATTTCTACCGTCAGTTAGTTTGTTTGACATAAAGTCATCGTACTGGGCCGTGAGAGGGTTATAGTTTCGTCCATTTTCGACCACATGAAAGTTGGAAGGACCAGGTCTGAAAGCCCCTCCTTGGAACGGTTGGCGGTTCCCGAAGTTGTACCCGTATGGTGGTGGTTGCGGTGTCGGGACGTTTTCTCTGGTCTGAGCGAGAGCATCCTCTAAGCCCTTCTCTAGTCTTCCTAAGGAATCCACAATTTCGGCCTTTTCTTTCTCTATTTCTTGCCTTAGTTGTGTTTTGTTCCGATTGCTTCCCGAAACATCTTTATTTCTTATATTGAGCGTTGTAGCATTGTTTATTCCTGGTAGCAAATTCCTCGTGTTCGCGGTATTAAGCCAGTTTATCGGTACATTTGAGCCCGAATCTTGTGTGGCATTCGTCTGCCATATTCGAAGAAAACTTGCAAGAGGGTCTCTCCTTGCTCCTATTACCAACGACAAAGCTCTATGCTTAACTTCATTTCTCATTCCAAAAATTGACTTTTTTTCCTTATCAGTGATTTTAGCAGAACCTGTTTTTTAATTACTAAATTCCGAATTTTTTTTACTCTTATGCCCATTTTCTTATGGAATCTGATGGTTACTACATGAGGAGCAAAATTTCGCCCAAGTTTTGAAAGGTAATAGATGGAATTATGAATCAAGCTCGACTTCTGGAGAGGACAACGCTAAAATCGCAAGAATTAAAATGACTACAACCTACAGATGAACTGCAATAAATCAGAAGGCAAATCACGGGCAGAAAAGACGTGGATACCTGATGATACCGGGATTCCAAACTTTGGTGCAGTAGTCGAAGTCGCTGTACGTTGAGACATGAGATCCGCACGTAAAAGGCTTTGAAGCTCCTTTGGATCGTCGTACGTAGATGGAACCCAACCTTTAGACTGAGCACTTTCTTGCCATGTGGAAAAAGGCAGTCCGTTTATGTTAACTGGTTCGCCAACAGATCTGTTCTTAAAGTCAAGAGGAGCTTGATCTATAGTCTCCTTCCCTTGAACAACAGGCTCCATTATGTTGTTGTAATTCTTGATTAAATCTGCTTCTCTGCTTTTTGATATTAATTGGTTCGAAGGTTTTTGAGAAACGGAATAGGTCCCAGCATCGGCGTTATACGTTTTTGGCATTAAAGAACCTCTTCCCTCCCCTTTTAAGTCTACAGGAAATGTTTGATAACTTAGCTTACCATTGTCACTCGAAGGTGCTGCGTTTTCGACCTGCGATGTGAAGGCTGATAAAGCGTCAACATTTTGTGAAGACTGTTTTTCGAAACTAGCACTTGGAGTGTGTTTAGCCTGCTCTATGCCATGCATCAGAGGTGGCAATACGGCAGCCTCATTATCACCATGATTCAATGGTGGTAGACTGCTGAAACTCTGTAAAGCGTCACTTCCGTGATTGAGTGGTGGGAGGTTGCCCGCTTGTTCAACACCGTGCAAAAGGGGTGGTAAATTCGCAGCATGTTCTTCTGCATGGTTCAGTGGGGGTAGACTTGAAGCTATTTCCACGTTATGATTGAGGGGAGGTAAGGCGGGTGCCATTCCATTTCCATGATTCAAAGGGGGTAAGTTTGCCGGACTTGGAGCAGAAATCTTCCCTTTGGTAGTTCCCTTTTCCGTGCCTGGAGAAATGTCTGCAAAATAAATAATTGAAGTGAAGAAGCAACTTTTCTGGCTAAGGTTCCCTTTATCATAATTCCTATCTTTGCTTTTTGCGGGGTAATCTAGTATTATCAACTGAGTTGATAACGTAAATTAGCCACCGTAAAGAGTTTCACAGCCGACGATTCGAGCGTTAGCCCTTCGTCTGTTTGCAGTCGTACAAGATAGTTGCATTAAAGTAATAGCCTAGAATTTCTTAACTGGAACAAAAACGCAATGTAGGGGGGGGGATGCATTGTAACCTTTAATATGTCCTTACCAGTCGTTTTGGAAACCTGATCTCTAGACGCCCCTGGATCAGCAATCCCATCGTCTGCGTTATCAGATTCGGGGATTTTTCCCGAAATTTGTACTTCTGGATTGAAGAACTTGTCCATTGGATCATCACTTGGGGTTTCATCGGAATTATCCAAAGACGTGGTGATTTTTGAATTGAGTGATCCAAAGAGAGGATCTGCGGAATGCTGATCTTGGTTAAATATCGATGGACCTGTGAAAGCCTCGTTGATGGAAGTTGCTGCATTTTCAGTGCTGTCCACAGATTTTTCATTGTTATCGTCAGTTGGTAAGCTGTTGGCTGCTTAAAAATAACGGTCAGTTAAGGTTTAAAGAATAGGTGTCCAGGAATAATTCAAGGGTAATTAAAAAGGCTGTATTTTGTCATATCAGAATCTAGTTGATACGCTCACGTTTGACTCTTTCCGGGTAATAGATTCAGTAAAAGTTTCTAAACCGAGTGATGGAACCATAAAAAAACTTTTAGGAGATTTTTTATTACCTTGTGACAGATCCGACCGGGATGCACCAGGAGTTACGGTAACCTGTGCAGGTTCAGGGAGTGGCTTATTAGTCGGAGCATTCTGACGGTTGGCTTCTGAAAAATAGAAGCACACGATTAATATCGTCATTGGGTGCAAAAGCCTCCTGTATAAAGTACAATTACCTGAGGAAAGCTACCAAAATAGCACGTAATGGTTATTGAAGTCAAATATTTAAACAGATCAATTTAGACGATAACAAATTCATTTAGAGGAGATGCTGTTTTCAAATTTTTATAGGAGAGACCATTTTCGCTAACCGCATCCTTTATTTAGATAAATTTGGTGTCCATTTTTCAAAGCCTTGCTTTAGTCAACAAGAAAGTAGTCATTTACGTACATCATTGAAAGATTGATTTATTTGCGGAATTGTTACCTGACAAAAGGTCAGAGCGCGACACTCCTTGAGACATCTGTGCGGGTTGCGGGACCGCGGGATTATTGGCGACCTGACTAGCAAACATGTCCACAGCACCAGCTGAGGGAACACTGTTCTTGTTTATTTCTAGATTACATTAGATACAAAATGTAACACGCGTGAGACTTACTAGAACTACATAAGCTAATTCCATAGGACTGCTGTCAAACACTACTGCAACGAGTTTTTTTATGGGATGGGCGTACATTTGACACCTGCGTGTGTGGGTAAGAAATTGAATGAAAGTGACCAGGAAATGGCCAAGTGAGAGAGTTTCAACCACTTGTCGCTGCCATCTTCTTACCTATGAAGGCTGATTTGCTCATGAACGAATAAGTGGCTGGAAGACTATCTAATTAGCTAATAGACCAACTGACTGAGTAACTAGGCGAGCAATTGCCTGCTGGATGGCTGGTGAATAACTATCGACTGCATGAAGAGTTTATCAAATAACTAAAGGACTGACGAGCTGAATACCTGATTAACAGGTTTTCAGTTAGCTTGACTGAATTAATGACAAATATAATGACTCACCGGGGGCCTAAATGACTTATGGACAACCTGGAGCACTGGCTACATGACTTTCACTCTTCACTTCCTAACCAAAATACTAACTGCCCACCGGGCCAACTGGCTGACTGAACGACGGACTGATTGACAGAATAACTCATCGACTGACTTACTCGCCAAAAACTGACTGACTGAATAACAAACTATCCGTCTTACTGTCGAACGAAATATATAACTGGCCAAAGTAACTGACTGTCCACAAGCTGAATGACTAGATGACTAACTGCCTGAACTGATGCCTGTAAATGAGTATAACTTCACTGGTGCAAGTTTGTGAATGACCAGAGTGAATGAATCAGTGGTTTGACACCGGTAACCAAGGACGTGTTTCATTTGAGAATGGAAAATAAACATGATTAAGTTCAATGTTAGTGCTGATGGAAAAATATGACATCAAGACGCGATCAGTGCAAGCAAGAGATGTGGCAAAGTGAGGTCCGTATATCTATTCTCTACAGAAAAAAACTGGAGTTCGATACGAGCGTCCATGGTAAATAACTGACTAGGGGTTTCATGAGCTGTCATAGTATTGCAAGTCGTCATTGTATCCTAGATCGTCATACTAAGATTAGTTTGTCATGTTCAAACAGGATTATGACTTATTTTAAAACATCATGAACAAAAATAAGTTAGTGAACCTGAAAAAGTAAGTGGAAATTCTAATTGCTTGTCTTCTAAACAAGTTTTTATTAAATGTATTGTCGGTGTGTGGAAACGTCACGGTCTTTTCCAGCAAATCGGAGAGAATTTTCGCTTCTGTTGTGGTATGAAAAATCAATTTAAAAATTTCGATGTCAGGAATGACATTTGGGCTATTGTGTAATTGCACATGTGTAATTGCGATTTTAAAAATGTTCGAAACCATCGTCACAGTTTAGGTTATGCCCTGTGGAAAAAGAAGTGAAAATTCTCTTCTAGTGCTGTTCTGTCTGTGCGTTGGCATGCCCTAACCTTCTTGCACCTGTTTATACAGTTCATCCTTCTTCTGAACCATGCCTGGAACAATCTTGCGTAGAGTCAATGGAAAAGAACCTGGGACGGGTGCGTGATGAGAAACCACCACCCCTAGACTATTTCCCGAACGGCCTTGCGGGATGAGGTTTTTAAAATCAGCGGAAGAAGTGTTGGCTTGCTGTGGTATGAGGCGTGCAAGCAAACCTAATCCAGAGGGTAAGTCAGGAGCATTGTGCATCAAACATTAAACAGCGTTATCAAAATAAACCTCCATTATAATATTATATGTTATTTATATCAGTTAAAAATTAATCGATTAGTCCTTACAATTATTTCCGGAAAAGTTTAATAAGTAAGAGGAAAGGAAGGGGACACCTCTGCTACAGCATTCCAGATTTCATGACAATCGGTCAAATTTGGTCATAGTCGTCCAATTTTTCCCTAATCTCGAGGTTGAAATAGTTGTATATTTAAGCGTTACTCAAAGTAACCTTGGTTCAATGAACGATTTGCAGGATAATAAAATACTATATTTACCGATGAAGTTCGCTGTCTTTACTTATATCCGTTCAGCTTATGTTTCAGACTTAAGGAAAAATGAAAGTAAGAGGTGGCTCGTTGAAACCAGGTCGAGAGATTCTCCTCATCCATTTACGAATGATCTCTTTAGGCACTTTTGGTTTGGTTTTGTGACTTTTACATTCCTCACATTTTTTTTTCAAATGAAGGCGAACTATACTCCAGAACCGAACTTATTCAATCACTGGCATTAAAAAGCATGCATAAAATTTTGACAATGGCCACGTTTTAAGATTCCAAACAATAATTTAACGCTTCGAAAATTTTCTTTGAAGGTGCGAATTGTCAACCACGGACGCCGTCATTTTGAATTTGGCCAAGCACCCTGGCCCCGGTTGTGCGAAGGGCGGATAACTTTATCGCTATCCAGTGGATATAGCGGTGATTTTTGTTACAGTTATCCACTGGATAGTGATATATCTGCTGCATAGCGTTATCTGCCCTTTGAACAACCCAGACCTGGCTGCTTACCTGTCGCTTAACGAACCCACGCTCCTCCATTATCTCCTCTTGGTAACTTCTTTCAGTTATGGTCATTCGTGACTCAAATCATGATCTTTCTGCGGGAACCATATCGGGGGCTATTTTTCAATCAGGTTAATCAATCTTTTTCAAACTTTCCTGTCCATGGTCGAATTTTAGCACATTTGAAAACAATTTTCGAATAGCTAAGTTACAATTTGGAATCTGAAACGCAGTAACTATTGTATATTTTTTCTGCACATGTTTTAATGACAAAGATATTAATTATGATTCTGGAGCATACTTCCCCTTAAGCTCTAAAGACACGTTTCCACTCTGCTGGGACTAAGCTGGCCTTAACAGCCACGTTATGATTGATGGCGACTATCTCTCTAAGTAAGTTCGAATCAAAATTTGAGGATCTGGTCAAACCGTCCTTCATTTGTGTCAAGGATAAACAAGCATCAAGCCATAATTTTCACAACAACAGCTCCAAAGCTAAATATTAACCAGCTTATTACGAGATGTGTGAGCAGTGATGGACTGAGACAAAAATGGACTATTACTCTCTTTAAGAAAAAAAACAATAACGCTTAATTAACATGGTTAGGGTGTAATTGCCTCTGAAGCGGTTGTCTGTTGTACTCTCATTAAAGCAATGTCACGTTAAAGAGTAATAGAATGTGACGTGTGCATTACCATGGTTACTGATGAGTGGTTTCCCAGATTAACGTGATTTGTGTTTTAAAGAAGGGAACATACATGTGCTGCTTACTAAAGATTCGACAGTCTGTTTCTTCTCAGTGTTGTTTTCTTTTTAATAAATCATTTTTGTAATAAGTAATTGTCCTTAGCAGATCACGCAATAAAAATTTCCCCATTTCATAACACAAAACCTACCGCTTTATTTCAACCAAATACCTATAAGAGTTGGTGTTGAACAACAACAAGAGTACAATTGTCTGTACATAAGTAAAAATGAGACCAAAATATTGGCAACTGAAAACGTCTTCCCATTGGATAGTTAAAATAAATTAAAATATCGCGGTACAGGAAAATCGATTCCATCCGCCGCACAGCGCGCAATGTTTTTTTGTTCACTTACATTGTATGACATCGAGAGATATTTACAACTAATGCGTGCCTTTTTACAAATCTACATGCTTTCCATGGTGTGCAAAACCAACCTTGAGATGCCAAAACTGAATCATGCAACATTCCTAGCTTCGTTTTAGTATAAAAACAAGCAGCAAAAACATTGAGTGGAGGATTTTAACCTTTAAATTGATTTTGTCCGAGCTGAGAATCAAAGAAAACTACAAATGAAGAAAGAGTGCTTCTCAAAGAGGTCAAAAAGGTTTCTACGTTCACAGTCAACTCGAATTAGTGCAAGGAAAGACCACAGTTTCGGGATTTCCCAGGCTATTTCATCTTACGTCATTCTATTCCATTCTATTCCATTCACCCCTACCATTTTATTTTCCTTTTGAATTTCAATTTTTCACCAGTAAGGACTCTTTTTCATTCAAGAGTGTACATGTAACAGTTCCGTAGTAGATGACTGTAAACGTAGAGAGTAGAATATTTTCAAAGACCACTGGTCTACTCTGAATTTGTTCTTTGACAACTTGTAAACAATCAAGATTTAATTTTTTCTTTCTCAAAATAATTCTGACACCTTTCCTTCACAAATCAAAAGCATAACATTCGCAAAAGGCCGAATTGTCAGTAGGCCTTGCTTCATGATAATTTAGTCAGCATTAATAAATGTCTCACTTGTTCTAGGAAAGCTAAAAAAGGGAATGGGAAAGCTGTCTCCTGTTGAACAACATTCTCTAACGCTAGATCCTACACATCATTTAAAATGACGAAACCATGAAGTTTTTTAACCTCTTTGTTGACAGAATCAATTTAAGTATGTCCCACCTCAAGAAAAAGGGTATTTGAAAACATTACTCCCTTTATTGAAAGGAAGAATTAACATTGTTAAATTAAAATAGACAGTTAAGTGACATTATCATCATTAAAGGAAATTGATTTTCCCTTTGTTGTAATCTTTCTTTGCACAAATTTGATCTGTATGGTTAATTTTAAAGTTAGAATCAGTTGATGTCGTCATGTAATGTTGTCCGTCGTATACTGTATCGCTGACGGCGGGATTGCTAGCTTAGCTTGGTTATATTCTCGACCATGTCAGAATTAAGGCTGACTCCATTTTGACCCATAGTTACTCGTCCTCGGGAAAGTAACTTCTTAACTCTCTCAGGCTGCTTTCTTGCTCGCCTGTTGGTTGTCAGAAAAATGAAGACCTAATGTTAGAAGCGGTCTTGCGTAACAAACAAAACTCGACATTCAAACGTTTTTACTCTTTTTCTGTTGATAAGAAGGATAACGAACTTCTCTGAATTTACACTTTTGGCGCATCATCGTTTTACGGTTATCTCCGAGTATAGCAGCAATTTCTACTGTTTTCTTCTGTAATCACTCATCTTAGATTTTCCGGCTCCCATTCACCGATGTGGCTAAAGAAAATGTAGACTTAATCCTGAATATGCGAGCGTTCCTTTCGCCAAGCTTACAGTATACGAGGCGAACATAAACGGTGTCGTGAGTCACTGTGTGAGAAATTTCATGGTCATTCTTTAAGTAAATGTAATAAATTCTAATACGCTTTCATTCAATGGTAAGAAAGTCCTCGACGTCAATATGGTTAAAATGTTTGCACATGAGGAAGGAAGAAAAATTTTGATGATCGAATGATGTAGCAGAGGAGAAAAAAGTTTACACCGTAAAGCGACTAAAGTTAGGACTTTGAAATTGGTAAAAGTTCCGTCGTGAGATGTCATGTCCTGGTAAAGCAGGCATGAGTAAGCTTCATATTTTAAAGTAACAGGCACAATGCTCGTTAGCATTTACAGAGTAATTGCGAGATAAACCACAAACGGCGTGAGTGGTTAGAATACGTTGTTATTGCTGATGTTGTTAGGTGTTAGTGGTTCAGTTCCTTGTGTAGTAGTGCTGGTGATGTTAAAAACTACTTATTTGTAGAGGAGATTATGGTCATACACTCGTATGCTTGGAATGCTTCAGTTACTGAGCAACTAGCAGCTGAGCCTGAGCAATCAGCGAGGAAATAGCTGAAATATTTATGCTAAAGTTACCTTGTTAAGCTTCATTCACTAGCCAAAGCTTCAGAACAGAGTAAGAAAATCAAGCAAAGGAGAGTGATTACATTTTAAGAGTGGAGCCGCGCGTGAGTCATGACTTGATGTTGTTTTCGATAAACACGAGTTCACTGTCGATCAAAGAAGTCGCTTTATCCTACTTATCAACAGTTGATAACATTTTATTTCATGTTCAGTTGACAAATTGGTATCAGTTACAGTCAGTCGTAAATTAGATAATTAAAAACTGTGATATTTTTTCAGAGGTTTTGGGTGTTTGGAGTATTGATTCTTGAAAATCTGGAGACCATCAACTAAAGGGTATAAAATTTGGCACATAGAAACAAAAAGAAACCCATTGGACGCTCCTGAACGACATCAATTCACTTACCTTGTTGTTGCGGTTGTTCGAGAGATGGCAGAGCCTGTCCTTGAAGGATCTGACTCCCTGTTAATATAAGAAGAGAAATACACTTAGTTAAAATCAATAGGATTTTGGGGACGAGTCTTTAGCATAGTTGTCATTTGGTATCAATTTATCGTCGATATAATTTTTCTTTTATTTACAGGAAGTGTGTTTCATTCTACAACCGTATTAGGAAAGTTTAGCTGGTAGACAATATCAAGGGGGAGGGGTGGGAAAGGTGTGAGGTTGTGGAACAACGACATACCAGAGTTTTTTCTCAATATACCTGAAACTTGTAAAAAACTAATTAAATAATACATAAAACTGCCCAGAGTATTGGTTTTTTTTTTCAACTTATGTTTCAATACTAGTTAGACAACATTAATTAAGAACGAGATCAATTAGACTCGTATGCGAAACTTGCGTGTACCTAAGTTGAAAAGACCCCGGATACCTGAATACCCAAAACCATTGGCCGGGCCTGAATATCACATGATTTCAGAAGCTAAAGAGATGCGCGCAGTTTTGTCTGCTACATCATCAACTCTGTGCAATTTTTTTAACCCATTATTTTCTGCATTTATACTCACTTGCTGCAAGCTCGTCCGCGGGACTTTGTGGTAAAGCTTCACTCTGAGGTATGCTCTGTGGGAAGACAGAAGCCGTTTGTCCCGACATGTCTGGTAGACCACCCATTGTGATATTTTGCTCAGGAATGTCCGATCTGAACTGCTGCTCAGGAGACTGCAGAACTTCCTGCTCAAACTGCGAGTCACTGACTGCAGGCATCAAAGTTTGACTTCCTGAAGGAATAATATGCCACTCAAGCTTTCAATACTGAGCTCAAAAAATGCATAAGAACTCTTACTACAGTCTATCAGGTTCTATATACAGGCCAGAATGGCAGCCTAACTCTGGTTTGTTTCTAAAGGGACTTGAGATCGTATTGCTTATTCTCCTGACAAATAAGTGGGCATTAGATGGAGTTTTATCATGTTTCCAGGAATCATGCATTCGGCAGTAAAGGGAGGGCAATGTCAAAGCAAGGGCATCACATAGTGACCCAGGAAAGTAAAACTCGAATCTCTCAAGAAAGGAGGCCATCAATGTCAGCAATAGGTCACTTTGCTTCTTATTAGACGACCTTCACCCCTTTTTAAAATTCATTTTAATCCCTCCCAGAGAAAAAGTTTATAGAAAAGGCTGCAATTGGCGTGAGGAGGGGAAGTTCAGTCAGTGTTTGAAATATCAGCAAAGCAATGCTACTACATTATGATTATTTGTATAAGTGCGTTATTTTTTTCTTACCTGGCTGTGGTATTTCACTCTTCTTTTTCGCTAAAGCGGCGAGCTTTTGGATTTGAGAACTTTTCCATAAGATGAGTGGGTCTGAATGAGATGCAGAAATCAAACCAGAGGCAGCCTTAGAGCGAATAGGCTCCATAGAAGCTCCTTTGCCCATATTTCGCACGTATTCAAAAGGATCTACAATCTTATCTTTTTTATCCTTTTCATCGGTGTTATTTTTCGGCGTTTCGGGCTTATCCTATCAAAGGAAAAGAAAGGGAAAATATTATAGGTAGTACCCAAGTTTAAGAACCGTGAATGATGATGAACATGCGGAATGCTTTCCAATTGAGTGTCCTAAACTAAATCTGAGGTTATCATAACGCTAGGCAAGAACGAAGGTTAAGATTACTAACTTTCAATGAGAACTGAAAGTGAACACTAATCTGCACTGGCTTTAAGCGCGGTATTAACCAAGTCGACATTGGTTTCCATTTTCTGGACCAATGACAAACCCTAATTAATTTGGACTAGTCTCGACACTTTTAATCTATCATTATCTGGCTAATATCAACTTGTTCTTTATCAAGACAACTGCCATAATCTTTTTATATTGCCTTATTATACTTAAAGGAGTTAGGGCGCGATGTTTTTTGGTTGTTTCTCCGGCCCTGGTGTGTATATCAATAGATATCAAAGGATGACGAGCAGTCAAAAAGGAACGCGAACGGCGGAGTTAAGGAGAGTGAAGAATAAAACGAAAGGGAGAGACAACCTTAAATTAAGGTTGAACCGTCAAATTACTTCAATAGCTTTTTCGTTGGACTAACCGACAAATCAAAAGTAATTGGTCTATATTTCTACCTGCACCTCTGCCCCGGTGGTATTCTCCTGCTGCTGGTCATTCTCTGGTTGTATGGCCTCAGACTGGTCGGCCTGAGCGGCCCCTTCGTCTTCACTTTGTTGCTCTTCCGCTTGCTCTTCAGGGGAAGCCATGATGCCCGACCTTGCGAAGTTTGGTTGCTGTTGGTACTGGGCATAAAAATCGGCCAGAGGCTCATTTCCGACTTGCTGAGGGAAATTGTAAGCATACCCGTTGTTACCGTATCCCATCATTCCATAATTGGGAGCCATCATCATATTGGTATCTTGCATTGGGTTTGGAACCATGTTCCTTTTGGAGCTTTCATCATACCCTATTGGAAATCCCATCCGCTGCAGGATGTCGGTAGCAGGCGGAAGTGGAATGTGCGACTTCTTAGATAGCTCTTCCTCTTTTTGCTCCGCAGCACCCTCTAGGGCCTCTCCAAGCATCTTCAGCGCTACACCTCGATACATATTAACAGCCTTTGCGATTTCTTTGAGGTCAATCTTTGGATAGACTGAAACTTGTGGGGCTGGGGGTCGTGGAATCGAGCTGTGTTTTTCGTTAGCTCTGCTTACAGTGCCAGTGGCAAGATCTGTTGTTGAAAATTAAAGAAAAATGACCTACTATTGCGGCAAGTCTAACGAAAGATATGAGGAAACCGAAAAGCAGCACAGGAAAAGAGACGTTAGTTCAACTTCGGAAAGTAAATGTTTCCTTTTTTGCAATATGGCGCACGATTTCTAACATATTCTATCATTATTGTTTGTTTAACTTTCTCCGGGTTAAATTTGAAGAGTTTTTTCGGTTAATCCTCCGGTAAGATTGTGCAAGTGCAAACGTATCCTCTCGTTAATAAGTCAAACTATATTCTGGGTTGTTTGATGACAAGAAGTAATACTTATGATTTCAACGTGGCAGAAATACCAAAGAAGTGGAATGGATGAACAAACATAAATGCATACCTTCAGCTAGACTTCCAGAACCCGAGCCAATTTCAGTTGTCCCGGGAGTGGGTGATGCTACTGTAACAGGAAGTGCTTCACCAGATCCTGATGCAGCTTCACTGACCTCATCTTTTTTCTGGGAGCCTGAACCGGCCTCACCGCTACCAGATGTCTGTATGATGTCTTCATCTGAAGCTGAAGATTCGCCCATTCCGGAAGCACCAGAGGCAGAGCCAGAGTCAGCTGCAAATTTTGCCATTAACACTTTGTGGATTGGTGCAGGAATCCCCGACTTTCTATATCCTGGATCTTCGTCTAATGAAGATTAATATTTTATCATTACTTGGAAATTCAATACAATGTCAAAAATAATTTTGAAATAACCAGTTCTGTACACTTTAAGCCGAATTAGGCTGTGGAGTTCATCATATTTTCATTGTTGTGCTTTTTTTTTCAATTCAAAATCACGGTAGCCTAAAGTACGAATGAAACATAATCACGAAATCCCGTGATAATGACTTCACCGCCTTCTCTTCATTGACGATCTTCATTACTCATGCAATATGTCAGTCTAAAACGGAAGATTTTTCCCTTAAATCTGGCCCTTCAAAGCCATCTAAGGAGTTACTTTAGTAAGATAATGTTTGAAAGCTGTGAACTAACCATCGTCGCTGTCGTCATCCCAGTCGCTCGAACCGGAGCCGGAATTGACTTCATCAGCGTAATATAAACTTGCTGATCCTGAATCGTATTCGTCGTATCCCGACCCAGACTCTTCATTGTTATGTTTGATCTCTGCACAAAACAAGGTTAAATAAAATATTAACAGAGGCTTTTTAGTAAAGTACGCGTAATCTCAGAGGGTGCCAATTTGACTCTTCATTAACCAAACACCAAACAGAATTCTGTAAGCATCCAACCGGTACCCGGAAGGTATGGGTTAAAGCTCCTTCGAAGACTAAGGTCCTCTGAAATTACTTAGCTTTATCCCCAGTTTACTTGTGAAGATAAACTCGTGGGGATCATTGTTATATCGCAAACACGTATCACCTACCACAGAAATGGCAAGACTTTTTGCACTGAATCTTCATAAGGTCTGGGTACTTTGTGCAGTAATCATTCTTAGCCATCTCTGGACAAGTGTCAAACTGATCATCACAGTCTTCTATTGAGAAAAAAAAATGGAAAATACTGTTAAGGTTACCAGTATTTTTATTGACGATTTTAGGGGGGAACTCCAACAAATTAAATAAACATAAAACACTGGAGCTATACAATGCCGCAGAGCCAACTAATGATAAATAGTGGGGTCTTAGAAAGTTTATTTTCCTCCCAATGTCTGGGTCTTGAGTAATTCTGTTGTCTTAATTCTCTTAATGAGAGTCGTTTTTCAGTCTATTCTAACGTGTAATTGTCCGAGCATCGATTTTCCCCCGTAAACGAATGCTGTAGGTGATACTGAACGGTAAACTGCAATGTCACACTGTAGGTTCTACTGTTTTTCCCGGGTTCAGACCATATACTGTATGAGTGAGTAATTGCGACAAGCTAAGAGTAAAAAATGAGTAATCATGAAATCCCTGATTCATTAAGGCTCGGGATCTTTGAAATAAGTACAAGAAAATTCAATTCACCCTTTAAGAACTAACAGCCCTTTTACAAATTTTGCTGAACTGGCAAAAATTTCATGAAAATCACTACGAGTTTGATTAATCTTCTGATTCTATTAACATTATCTGCATTTATCTCTCTTCGCAAAATTACCCTCTTCTATTACTGGCTTCTTGGGTTGAAGTCCCTGGTATACTGGTACAGCTTGGACACCCTGGGCTGGAATTCCAGGAGTTTGCTGAGGAAGAGCGCCAACCATTGTGTCGGACATTGTGGTATCTATGCAAGGAAGGCAGCATTTAGAGCTTTAAAGAAGAGCTTAAACTAAACAGCAACATAAACAACTTAAATGCAAGGCATTTGAAAGACGTTGTAAATGTTAACTTATTCTCAAGTTCTTCATCTGACTGCGTGCTGTAGCTTTAAGTCTCAGTAGATGGTCGACGCCATTGAACAATGTGTGCCAAACATGTCTTTACCAAACAAATTAGGCCTATTTGTTCCCATATATGTTCCCGTTATGATGATTTTAAGATTAGGTACTGTTACTAATGCTGACTACGTAAGGTCAAAAGGTGACTTACTTATTGGAAACGCAGCAGCAACGTTTTCTGGACTTTGCATTTGCATATTAGATGGATCTGCCACCTGAGGGGCAAAGGCTTGTTCCGGGGCCTGAGGGGCAAAGGCTTGTTCCGGGGCCTGAGGAACACCCCCTTGAGCCTGGTCGAGAACTTGCTGGGGGTTCTGAAGCGGACTTTCAGCTGGGGCCTGGTCTGCCAATGGTTGAACTTTAGTAGGCACTGGGGCAAAAGGCTGTGCTGTTGGAGAGGCTTGTGGTTGGTCTCCAAACGTCATTTGCGCTGGATTAACATCCATCGCTGGACCTTGCATCTGAGGCTGAGGATAACCTTGATTGTTTGTTGCATCTTGTTGCTGTTGCCCTTGAGGAAGGTTTATTGACAAAGGACGCAGACCACCAGCCTCAGTAAGGCCGGGTATAACCGACTTCCTTCCAGCGTTCTGGTTTAAGCCTGGTTCAAGAAACAGTTACAACCATTTTAGGTCACAAAAATGATCAAAGAAACATTTAGATAAACTACATGTAGCTCTTCCTGAAAAGGTAACCAACATGAATATATCCAACTTTGAATCTGGCGCTGATGTTAACCAAAAAGAAATTTGCAGTTTTACATCGCGCTAGAAGGAAATTACTTATAAGCAAAACAAATTTAGCCTCTAAATTTGAATGAAAACAAATTATAATGACACGTCAGACAAATATTAGACCTTTCAGGACCCCCCTTCACTGACTATGATGTTCCTGGAAAAACTTTAATTCTAAAACTAAAATATTATTTCCTCTAGTTTTGTCACCGGCAAACATCTGCCGATCAATTTAGTCGCTCCTGTACTAACCTGCTTTTGCCTTTTCAATCATGTTCTTTTTCATCAGCTTCGAATACGGTGAATACTTGTGAAGCTGAAGTGGAAAAGAACCTCTAAAGGGCACTGCTGACTTTCGAATGGCTGGAGCCTGGGGAGCAGGCACAGGTGCTTGTGGGATGGCCGACCGTAGTGTTCCTTGAAGGTCTGCTGTATTGTTAACTGTGAAAGAACGGTTACAGCCCAAGTAAACAAAGAGTGATAACTCAATCCATCTCCGATAGAGGAAAGGTTAACCTGGGATTTCCACTGAAGAGCTGTTTACAATTATTTTGCTCCGATAAAAAGTTAGCACTCGAAAATTCACTTTTTCAAAATTTCCTACGGCGGTCTATTTACCCTTATTGACATTGAGTTTATAAAAAACTACTGAACTGTGGAATTGTTTCAGCCTAGGTTTTCCTCGCTCCCTTGTGAATTATAGCTAGTTTTTAATGGTCTTTAAGTTATACTTTTAGTTTGATACCGCTTATCACAATCGGTACACGCTTTATAAAGAATATTTTAAAGTGCAACTTGATATTAAGCTGTACTTCTATCCTACCTAAGGGGTTAGAAAACATATCCGGACCAACAGGAACATCGGTTTTCTTCACTATCGTAGGGTCATATAGCGAATTATCATCGAAGCCGGGTGACTGTTGCCCAACCAAGGCAGCAGGTGAGTAATCAGGAACAGTTTCCAAAGTACTTTGAGTTTGTGCCGGCAAAAATGCAGTGTTTGACTTGTCATTGGAAGTTTTGTCATTCTCCTCTGTCTGGACTACTGTATTTTGACTCTGATCCTCAGTAGAAGGTAACTTTGCGTCTGCACCCTCTGACGTCACATTCGGTGACGTCAAGGATGCGTCCGTCGAACTTTGTGTAGGAGCAGTTTGTGCTGCGGTAGAAGGATTCACTGTGTTAGTATCGTCAGAATCGTCAGAAGTAGCAGTTGAGGTGTCTGTACTGTTGTTATTGTCTTTTATATCAGTGGTGTCATTAGAGTTGTTAGACTTTTCGGTGCCTGTCGCATCAGAAGTCGCGAGTGTTTGCGACAGAGTCTCAGTCGCTTGCTCGTGTTGGCTGTCTGTCTGATTCAATGTAGTTGTGTCTCCGGAAGGCTTCGGCAACTCACCCGAACCCGACCACAGTTCCGAACCCGAACCGGAAAAGTCGTCATTGTCATTGTCACTATCTTCAAGGTTGAGTTTTGTTAAACTCGTCGCACTTGGATCGTTAAAGATCTCGCCGAGAAGAGCATCAGGAGCGCTTCGACGGTCAACAGCCTGAGACGCCGGCGGCCGTAGGTCTGAAAGTTAGTTTATCAGTGTGACTGTTAGTAAACTCGAATTAACAAGCGTTATAGCCCACGCTGACAGGAATCAGGATGTTAGGGTTGCCTCAAGTTATATCATATAAAGTATTAAGCAAAGCATGCAGCTACTATTAAAGTATCTTTTTTCTTAAATGGAAAGGAAGAAAAGGGATTAAAATTCTTAAATAAATGATTTGATGATTTTTTTACTTCTCAAGTTTACCATGTGGGTGTCAAACTAGGTGAAGTGATCTTTACGTGGCTTATGTAAATTAATCGCTCGTTCTTGAACAATATAGATCTTGACAAAACTGCTACAAATTTCATTTAAGGATCAATACTATTTGATGATATTGGCATTTTTGGCCAGCGACAACGTTAGGCCCAAGCGCAAACATACGTTGCTCATGCGTTACAGCATAATTTTATACATTTCTTTTGTTCACTGAAAATTATAGTATCACGGATAAACGTGATACGAAATATCAAACTGGGGTCTAAAGTCTGAAACTAAGGTTCTGTAAAGAACTTAAGCGTGCTCTCGAAATAAAATCAGCCAGATGACTTTCAGCTCCGAGAAAGGGAAGATATGTATCCATTCCTCTTGATTATTGCACCTTGCAATCTAGTCCCGATGGAAGCTGATCGACTATCAAAGTCGTTAATCGTCGGTTTATAATACCCATTACTCGAGGTGTTTCATCGTAAACCTTTACTTAAGTAGTTAACCATTAGTCAGAGGGAGGCGACTGACAAGATCAATTCAAAATGATATAGGTATACTTGGGTCATTCTTTTTTTACTCTAGTTGCCAAAACATTCAATCTGAATAGTAATATTTAAGAATTGACCGATCTGTTTCGACAGTTTTGTTTTAATTTTTCGACCCGGACGCCAAGGTCAGCAAATTCTAACAGAATGCGAGAGTTCTTAAAGACCAGTAACGCAAGAAGGTAAATGAGGTGTGCTTGAAAGATGCATGGGCCCATAGTTTTTCTTCCGGCCTAAAAGCAACCTGTTAGACGTACAAGTGTCGAGGCAAACAATCGCTACAAAGCTACAGGGTTTAAAATACTCCTCCAAGGAGTAGTTATCAGTAATATTCAACATGTAAGAGAACAGACTGGTTATGCTTTTGCTTACCTTTCGCTCTTGATAAAGTTACTAATGATATAATTAATAATAAGAAACGAAAACCCATAACTGAGTTGGTGGCGACCTGAGGAAATAAATATAGACATAAATTAGACTGGTCAAAAAGTCGTTCACAATAGGCCAACTGTTGTAACAGACTGTCGCGAACATCCCTAGAAGATGCGAAATTTCTGAAATTCCGGACTCAACTCATGAGTCTCTCAGAACCTTTATGATTATTAGGAGGAGAAATTGAAAATCATTTGTAGCCCATAAAAAGTCAAATTTGTTATTGGTAGATCAAATTGTTTAATCTCATATTGACCATAATGTTTGCTGTAATGGTTCAAGGGAGCTTCGTTCATTTCCTTTTACCTGCATCTGATAAAAGACATTTAAAAAAACGCCGCTTGAGAAACTCTTTTACTACCAGCCTCTCGCCACAAATTGATCGAGCAGATCACAGAAACTGGCATTAAAATGCCATTTAATTTTGTTAAGCAGAGATTTATCACCCGCTCTGTCGTCATGCTCGCAAAAAGAAATAGCCACGACGAAAAAAGGTGCTAATAATTGCAACCAGTATGATCTCAACCTGGCCTTTGCCCGAAGGTCCTCCTTCTAAAATGCATAACACTTCTAGAGCGCATTGAAAAAGACAAAAAAGACAAAAAAGACAAAAGGAAAGAAAAGGAAACGGAAAGTGGAACAAAAGGGAATTTATATTTGAAAAACAGAAGAAATTTGTTCAGACTGTATTTTATTTGACTTGATGCGATGATGAAACGACTATACTTGAAGATGATTTAAAGTGTCCGCCTTGACGTTGACCTTATAAAGAGTCTATATAGAGTATTTTAGTTATCTGCTCGTCAATTAGTACATAAAATTGAAAATATTATAGAGATAATATTCACTGCCAATACGTTTCCTAGACTGAAGATAAAATAATTGAAATTCAAAACATTTGTAGGAATACTGTTTCTAAGAGCTAGCTAACGGCCTTAGTTTTTCAAAGGTCAACAAAATTTTAAACAAGAATGGTCTCAGTTAATTGTTTTTCTATGTTTTTCAACTTTCATCTACATAGAAACTGACCATCGATAACATGACTCTCTATGTGCACTGTCAAATGCAGTCCATATATGTTGATCATGAAAAAATTTTGGGCAAACGTGAACTACGTTGTGCTTTGTCAAATGACAGTATAACTAAGGATAGATAATATCTGTGAAGAAATACGAAAGCCGTAAAACCAACGCACTGAAGGCTGGTGTGTCAGTACACACTGTGGATATCAGTTAAGTAAGTTCCTGATTTTGTTCCAAACTTTATAATAAAAGATTAGAGCAAAATCAAAATACTCCGCGGGTATCTTGACTAACAACTGAAGTGAAGATCTAAATATACTTCCAAACAAGTGCAAAATCAGCTTAAATGCAAAGACTTCATCACTGAATACAACTTATAAGGAGTTCATTCTACACCCTTAAAACTGAAAATCGATACTTTGTCCGCCATTATGCAAGACCAACTACACACAAAGTTAATTGACCTTACCTAACTTTTAAATTTGAATTTTTGCATCCTGAAATCTCCAGCAAAATGCAAGCATAAAACATCCAAAATATAAAAACGATTTAAAGCGTCAGATGGAACTTTTGTTCTGTCTTAGTTAAGTTATATGATATCCTCTTTCTAGGAGACACGCTGTACACCAAGAGGTATATAAGAAAATTTGCTGTCGACACTTACCCGTCTGACAATCAAAGCTTGATACGGGTTTTAATTCCTGAGGCACACCTCGTGCTTGAAACAAATTTGATTTTCCCTTTTTACCACATGAGCAAATTTTTTTCTTTCCGCCTTTCTTAGGAAATTCGGCGAGTAATTCGACTTAGTTTTGTAATCACAAGCGATTTTGGAATAGATTGCAGATTTCCTAGGTCAGTCGTCATTACAACATCACATTTGCATTTGATTATGTCATTTTGTTTCCCAAAACCACAGGTCGTGTGAATAATTTACCGACCGTGAAAATTCGATTGTGTTCTTGACACCTCTAGGAGATTTCCATCAAGATTGGATGTCCCGGGACCAAACATTTTACAGTTCGAAAAAAGGTAAAAAAAAAAAGGCGCAAATCAAGATCACACATTAACATGGAAACCTTTGGTTGTTCAACTTCTCATGGTTTAGGGTCATTTTTCCCTTAAAAGAAACAAGCAAATCAAAAAAGATAAACATGTGATAGCTTTAGACGCCTAATTCTGCTCTAACAAAAAATGTTCCATTCCCTCGTTTCCATCTTTAACCAAATTTGCAAAGTTTTCAACAGCTACTAACCTTAGAACGTTGTCATTGTAGATTTCTCCTTCGCAGGAAAACACCTCTCCCTCTCCCTCTCTCCAACGTCTTGTTTTCAAACCTGTTAATTATGCAAAGGTTACCTAAACATCGCAGAATGTCCCAACAAACGACCACATGCTTGTGAGTGAACAATATAATCACAACAGAAAAAGGCGGGAAAACGCTAACCTATCATTCGCGCCAAAGATGACGGCCTCCTGCAGACTGTTCATCGCTGATTGGCACTATCCTTGCACTGTATTTATCAGCGTATAGCAAATAAACAAAGATTGTCTAGGGATAATAGCAAACAAATTTATGTAGATTAAAAAGCTTATATCGTAAACAAGCAATTGATTCAATTTCCGTTAGTTGACGTTATAGCTAACGAGAAAGCATTAGTACGTACGTCTTGTAAGAAAAAAGTGTCTAAAGATGGGAATAGGTAACTATCATGTTTTTGCTTTACTTACAAACGCTTTGATATTTTTAAAGTCACATTTAAAACAATACGGCAATTTTCTGCCCTTTAATTTTACTGTTGACATAAGAGAAGTAAAAGGATATATAAGGGGAAGAACTTGAGCATTTTGATGCGATGAGTTAGGTAACGACTAGATTGGTGGATCAAATGGTTCAAAACCTTATAGAGGCCGTGTTCTGAACCGTTAATTGAATTTGGAGCAGTGTAACTCTATTGAAGTTGTTTGATCACACGGTTGTTAGTGTGTGTCAACACATTCCGCTCAGAGCAGGTCTTTCGATTGTTGTGAAGACTTAGAACACACATGAACTGTTAAAACACATGATGTCATGTAATAAATAAACGGGCTGTTTAAGATACTTGATAAGGAAAACCTGGATATCAGTATTTAATAAAAACGAGCAGTATTCAAAAAATCCTTTGAGATTATTTTTTATTAGTTATACTGAGCTCAAATTGCCTACGTTTCACTGAGTGATTAACGGATCCGAGTAAGCGACTTTAAACGTCCACAAATTGATTTCTGGTTGGAAACGGATTTCACGAAGTTTTTCGGGTAGGTAGCAAAGTTCAGTTGGCAATGAATCGCCATTTTAAGAGAATTTTAAACCTCAAGACTGATTATTGTAACCATATTACCTTAGTTTTCTTATTTGAATCTTCATTAATTTGTTTTCATAACAACTTCATAGCTTGATCGTATGATCTGTTTATCCGATTTAAGGACTGAAATGTCTATTTGTTCAGATATCTTCAGACCACTTACTATCATCAAGGCTTAGGATTTACAACGAAGTGAATGGGCACAAGACGTGACATAGTGACTGATGTTTTGGGGAGATTGGGGGTGTGTCGTATTCATATAACTAGAGCAGCTTTATTACCTAGCGCACTCAAGCAACAAAACAAGCGGAGTACAAGCAAATCGGAAGCATGTGTCAGCTATATATATTATGTTTCGGCACATATTGAAGCTGTTTTTTAATTTCTAGAGGGCTTTGTCAAAATATGGTCTAAAGACGGGTGGATCGTGAAGAAAGAGTTTTATCGTTTCTTTACGAGCGCCGGACAATGAAAAAATAGTGAGTCCCCATATATGAGGAATCAAACCTCAGACCTTCGGCTTCCCCGTTACAATGCTCTACCGCTGAGTCATAGAGACTTAACAGTAAGAAAAAATTTATTAAATCCACATGTGAATCTTAATTTCATCTCAGTAGTTTATTATCTGATCATAACATCAAATTTACGTCTAGCTTTTAAGAAAATTGCTAGCCTTACATTACAAACACACCTTTCATCCTTTGAGCTTTTCTTTGGTTGTACTGTTCCCTACCAAAATCCATACGGCCTCAGGAACTATCCCCGAGTGGATGGTGCCCATCGACTTATGTCGTGTAGGCTGCCTTCCTTCTAGGCTTTGTGGGTTTTCAACCCTGCGAAAGGAATATCTTTCCGTTGAACGGAAATTAATAACTCCTCAGGAATGAATAGTAAATTTTTATAAATACTGTCAACATCGTTTCGTCCTAAGTTATCAGTCATTAGTTACCACCTCGAGGGTTGGAAGATCACATAAAGGGAAAAGAAGGGAGGATAAGTCTTCGTCAATAGAGTATAAGGCCGGAGGGACTACTGAAAGCTTAATTAATTGCCAATAAGGGAAGGGGGGGTCATATGAAAGTTATAAAACCTTATGGGGGAGATCAGGTAAAGAACAATTGGAAGTTGGAGTGGTAAGCACCTTGCGCAGATTAATGACACAAGCAGCTTGTGACAAACACTGGAGAGATGTACGAGCTTTAAAGTGAACTAACTCTGGCTATGCATAGCAGTGGTTGCGAATAATGTAGTCAACACTCACCTTCTCAGATAAGTAACGCAAAAATGTTTATTTACATAATTAGTAAACCGATAATTCTAATTACACTTATGAAGTTACAATCAAAGCTGTTACATAAGAACATTTAAAATCTCCCTGATCCTGTTTATGCTCTTTGTACATAAAGAATGTTTAAGTGTTACGTTTTTGTTTTCATTAGTTTGCAAAATGACAGAGGAACGTTTCGACAGCTTAACGAAGACGAAGCCTGGTGACTTGTAGCTGAAAATTTCTGCCTCCACCGCTTCCTAACACTTTAAAGTATTCGTAGATAGAGCAATTTTCGATTGAGCGTCGAATGTTATCCAAGATTTTTTTTATTTTGCTTTATTTCGCTCTGCGATTGGTCCAGAAAACTCGCGTCATTGTTTATCCAATCAGATACAAAACTAAAACCAAATCACGACTTGGTCGCCCGCGTTTTCCCGCCTTTTAGGCAATTTGGTCGTATTTACTTTGAGTTCTCAATGGTTCTTAAAGGCGTTTTCCTTTATCTGATCGGCCATTGTGATTACTTTGGTTTCGATTTTACAACACTCAGTAGGAAAGCGCTTTCATGAAACTCTATGATCAAACAGAATCATTGCGTAAACGATCAGCGTATGAGGTATATGGTATACAAGTTCGGAATAACAATTTCAGTGACTGCATGTTGAGATCGAGCTGCGAACTCTTTCAACTCTATTACTTGTGTACAGTATGCAGCCTTTTATTGGATCCCGCAATAACTAATTTATCCATTTTTTTGCTTGTCATTTCTCTACCTCTATCTTCTATATTTACCATTTCTAATGAATACCAGTTTGAGTACCAACTATTTCGCTTAGTGTCAAAAAGACGTCTCAGTGTGGTAAAACGCCTTTCGGAAACGGCTATGGCAAGTCCAGTATGATATATGAATACATTTGGCGGAGTACAAGGGTTTACCAAAAGCACTGCTTTTACTTCCAACCAAACTGCACATTTATCCAGGATACTAGCCCAACATGGTGGTCCACAATTATCATTTGATAGCTGGACAAGAAAAAAAAAACAGAAAAAGTAATATCAAATTAACCAATTTGAAACGTATAACACCGATGATGACACAAAACGATCGCAGCAGAAATTTCAGCCTGCATTGCTAGCGGTTTTATGTGTGCTGTATGAAAGGCGAAACAGAGAGAGGTTTGGGACGTATGATGAACTTAAAGTGCGCGAAAAACTGCCAGCCACGCAGGATACATACAATCAAGTTAGGGTTGAGTGTGTTGCTAGGTTAAGGTAGGATCCCTGTGGCATACTGGGACCTCAGCGCGATATTTGGAACGAATCCAAGATCCCGATTGTTTAGGAGAAATACATAGCCGTGTTTCTTTCACGAGTTGCCACCCCTCACTTAAAGAGTCAGTTTGGAAGGAACCGCTGTAACAAAATGGAAAGCCAAACAAAATAAATCAGCGGAGGGAAGCGGAAGCTTTTTTTAGAATTTTCCAAGGGAAATTTATCAGAACACCTCAAATTGTTCCACTAGAACGAGATTCCTGGCTCACCCTCAAACATATCGAATGTAGGTTATTTAAGACACCAACAGAGACATATTGTTCACCTTTCTCTAGTTATCTCAGAAGATGGGGTTTGACTAGTTATGAAAATCTCTTGTAAAAGCCAATATTAGTAGGATTCTTATTAGAGTTGCCAATGGGAAACTGAAGTTACAGTTACCTCCGTTTTTTCTTGACAAAAAGAATCTCTTTTGAGTCTGTTAGTTTTTACATTATCTTACGTAACTTACGTTGCAGTTCAAGAAATCGCCTTCTGGCCTTGGCCTGTTCGCTCGCCACTTGTTTGAGATTTCGTTTCATTTTGAAGTAGGGTGAAAACTTGTGCAACATAAGAGGAAACGAACCCTTATAAGGAACCTTGTTATTTTGCGGAACAAACGACTTCTTGTCAATGCGTGAAGGGGATTGTGGGATGTTATGTCTTCGATCATATCGGAAGGCTGGGAAAGTAGGTATCATGTTGTCAACTTGAGCGCGGGGACCCTGCTGTGGCTGCTGAAATTGAGCAGAATTTGAAGGGACAACAGGATTTGTGCCAAAAGCTTGATTTTTCGATACAGCAGGCGGTGGAAACAGAAGGTTCTTCAGAGCCAACTCTTTGTCTAATTGTGTTTGCGGGTCATGAATAAAACCT